TTCGTTTCTCTTTCTTTCCTCTCTTTCTTTCGTTTTACTCTTTCGTCTTGCAATTCTCTCATTCACTCTGCTCATCTCATCATTCTCTCACTTGGCTCACTTTACTCACTTTACTCACTCAACTTGCTCTCTTTCTCTCAGCTCTCAGCTCTCAGCTTTCTTTCTCTCTCCCCATCTCCCAGCATACACAATTTCAAGGTAAATAGGTAATCCCGTTTGATGGTTAAAAGTTTAAAGATACAATGGTAAAAATTTTTATTCTTTCACGGTCAAATGTGTGCGTCTTTGGCACTAACTACATGTTGAGCGCTAGAGACTATGTAATCTATGATTGTACGTGTTGGGAGCCCTTGGAACCAAAATATCGCCCTTAAAAGTTTGAGAGAAAAGGTAACAACATGAGAATACTATTTATTATATATTATGTTTGTTGTAACTCAGGTAAGAAAAGAAAAACCTGAAAGCGGCTTTTTCTCTTTCTTTTCTTTCTTTCTATTTTGATCGAGGTACAAAAATAAAGGCCAATGTATTGATGAAGATGATACTGATGATGAGGATGAGGATGGGCAAGAAGTAGGAGGAGATACATCAATCCAATCATCATCATCATGAAGAAGTGGAACTAAATGAAAGGACTAAATAAATTAAGTAAAAGGCTAGAAAAACTCATTTCACAAAATGTCACTCAAACGACAGACAGAGAGCGAGAGAGAGAGAGAGAGAGAGAGAGAGAGAGAGAGAGAGAGATACCGATAAACTTGCTCTTCCTTATCCTTATCCTTATCATAAACTTTTCCGCTAATTCGTTGATAATCTCAATCGGCTTCCACTTTCCAACTCATTGAATCTCATAATTAATTTAATTCATAATCATGGAGAAAAGTATAATCAGTTTGATGAACTTGAGACTGTCTTTATATTAATAATATCAAACGATTCCGGGTATTGTCTTTAATCATCTTGTATTCGTTCAAATGAAAAGTGTAACAAATAGTTTAATTAATAATCAATGAATGTTGATTAGTTTAGATTGTGAAACAATTGCACAATATTAATGATACTTTTTTTTTGAAAAAAATAGTGAAAACGTTTATTTTTGCTCAACAATTAATCTTATCTTATCCCTCTCAAGTTAACTGTTATATTTTATGGCAATTGAAATATAACATTGAAAACAATTTGTTAATGATAATAATGGTAATCACAATTTACCTGTGGTTGTGATTGTAATCAACAAATTACAATTCATATTAGTTCCGCTCTTAATTTCAACTGATTTCAACTTATTCCAATAGTAAATGTTGTTGTTGTTATTGTAGTTTTATGTTTTTCCTTACCAACAATTTAAAGTAACAAAGATTAAAACCTCAATGTGAGGTCAATACTTATCCGAAAATGAGAAACAATATAATTACAATTATAATCAGTGTGATAATTTAACATCCACAGGTAAGAAAATGGTTAATAATTAGCTGGTTAAATTGTAGTCGAGAAACATTTTCATGATAATGTATTAATACCAAAGGGAGTTTAACAAGAAATCACCAATGAAACAATCAACTGAATTAACTTTGCGATTATTGGTATTTTGTTTTTTTCTTAATTGTTGGTCGATAGTTAGTTTTACTTTTATTACACTTAACTCAACAAATCATAATATAAATCAACATCAGATTCAATTGGTTAACCTTATCCCGCCCTATTAACTCATTTGGTTAACTAATTTGAAAAGTTTACTAGTTAAAATTAACCACAATCAACCATAAACAATCAGCTAACAATTTAAGTTAACAGTTATCCTTTTTGTATAACATTTGATTGTTTCTTAATGTTTATTTATTTCAGATCAATTCAATGTTGTTATTGAGGCTTCTAGTTGATTTGATTAATTGTTTTAATACACATTTCAAGTGTCATTATAATCATTTGTTGATTTGATGATCAATATTCAAAATCAATTGATTGTCACTCTTGTTGTTAGCTAAGATAAGGATGCCTTTTAATTAACTAATTGTAACTTTCCCTATTGTGATTTTTCCTATTGTAATTTTTCCTGTTGTAATTTTTCCTATTGTCGCAATTTAGTTAATAATGGTTTATATTGAAGAGTAAGGATTAGCACAATCAAATCAAATCTTGTAATCAATCAGACTTAAGATCTTATTGAGATTACCAGATGAAGATGATTACATTTAAATTATTGGTTAGTAACCATTAAGTTCAATATTACAGTTAGATGATTTATTAGTTGATCAATAAGATTTAATAGCAATTAAATGTCTTGGTTTTAATTAAATAATCGTTGTGCGAAATTAACACGATCACGAGGACAATCATTAGAAATGAGTGAGTGAAAATACCACAATTAACTGAATCCATTAGTCCATAACTTAATCAATGAGCTTATGACAATTTAGCAACAATGTAACTTGAAAGTAAATGTTACTTATTGTTGCTTTGAAAAATATATTATCGACCTTAATTGTGTTGAATTATTAGCTGATGATCATCAAGAATCAACATGATAATATATTAATCTAATTGGAAATTCGAAGAATTGCAACCACACCCAAATTTCGACGAAAACTATTTTCTTTTCAATCAATTTGATGACATTTAGATTTCCCGCTTTAATTGATTCTCTCTTAATGTTCTCTCTCTCTCTCTTTTTCTCATGAATTTGTCAGAAAAATCTCATATTTCCCATGAATTCAGTCTCATTTCCCTCCTGATTATTCCCGATACTCTTAGTAAACCTTTGATTTGAATTCATCCGATGATTAACTGAACAGTTTCAGTCACAATTAACTTAATATTACCTTTAGGGTTAAGGTGATAATAACCTTCATGATAAAGTCTCAATTTAATTGCTGATCATTTGAAAACAAACATTAATTGAATAAATTTTCAAATCTTTATAAAATGTAGACCATTTTTTATCATGTTAATATTATTTAAGTGATTTGATTGTTCCAATTCAACTCAATAAACAATCAACAATAAGTGTTGTGGGATGTACATGTAAATAAGATTAATCAAGATGCTTCGAACTATTTGTTTCAAATGTATTTTGCAATTCTAAGGTTACCTAATTAACTTTCGATAAAGTCAATTGTTAATTACTAAAAGTTTCATCAATAATTGTACAATTTCATTTCTCTAATAAAGTTTAGCCTCTTTTCCAGATTGAAAAACTAATATTTCTAATGATCGTTATTAGAACTTCAACTCACAACTTGAAATTTAAAATTCGCAGGTTAGACCGAAATACGTGCAAATTTATCTTCCAGGGGCGTGTGCAAAATATCAACTGAATACATGGGAAACTTGAAATTTCCCGAATTCATTAATTCATAAATGTTTCTTTTCAATGGAGAGAAAGAGTCGATTATCATTTTAAATTTACAATCGGCGATAACCTTGACTTTTAAAAGTGAAAAACCTGAATTACGTCAATGCACCTTGGTTTATGACACAGAATTACTTAATTGTGTCCAGAAAGAGATAAAGAAAAAAAAGAAAGAAAGAAAAACAAACTATTGAAAAAGAATACTGTTAATGACGGTTTGAAATTGGCGCCGTTTTCGATTTTTCAAAAAAAAGTTTTGAACATTTCTGTTTTTTAGTTAGTGGATTTACAATATTGACCTTAATTTGTTTGATTACCACTAAAATATTGATTGGTAATAACAGTTAATATTGTAACTTTAGGCACAAATATTCAAGTGATATTACTGTTTCCGCAAAGCAATAAACAATTAACTAGCCAACAATTAACTTGCCATTCAAATATCAACTTAATGAATGATTGGAAATGAGTTGTACAAAGTCAATATGATAAATCAAAACCAATATTGATGATAAGTTAACTCAAGCCAATAAAAGTGATTAACCATTTTTTTTCATTTACAATCTAATTAATTTTGAATGTTTTGCAAACAGTTTTACTTTGATTAAAGATGCAATCACAATGCTAAAAAACGTTAATCATGAATAATCAAAACATAAAACAATACAATCTGATGAATCCAATGATTAGCTGGCTCGCAATTGACAACATTAACTGATAATCAACAACTAAATTAGGTCAAGCAATTGATCAAAGGAAAAAAATTGATTCAAAATTAGCGTTGACATTTAATTTAATTGGTTATTAGTTAAGATAAATTGATTTTTACTTATTGTAATGAAACAAAGATCTGCCTCTCTAATTGAAACAATTAAAAAAATCTCATTGTTGTTGAACTCAATTCACACCTTCCGGCATTATTAAATATTAATACAATAATTAATAATGATTATCGTGATGAGTTTCAATAATTAATATATTGTTTATAATTAGCATCAAAAGTCAAAGTGATTAATTTAATTATCTACTCATACTACGATTTGAATATGATTTTTGTATCAAATTTGATTCCAATCAGACTCTGATAATTGATAACTATTAATTAGCTTGATTAGTGTGATAATTAACGTTTAGTAGGTTAATAAGGACAAAGCTGTGAATCAAATCAACGGGAAACATCAGGTGATTGGTCAGTAGTAAGATCAATTAATCAAATCACCATTAACATGATAATTATAAACTAATCTAGTTTAATTAGCTTTGGGAATAGATTATGAATTAATCAGATTGATTTGTAATAAATTCTCAGTTCGGAAAGTTTTATAACAACAATAAATATGGACATTCATGAATCAGATTGAATGAAAATCTGTAGACTAAGTTTATAAATTGGTGAAATTAGTTAATTGTAGAAATTATAAAAAATACTAATTGTGTTTCTTGATGAATTAATTTATAATTCGGAAGTAAACACAAGTTCAATGATGTTGAACTTTTCCTCTGAATTCACCATGATAATTATGATGATTTTCATGTTAACCAGCGCGGTAACAAGCAAATTGAACTGAGCTGAATCAGATACTGAACAAAAAAGTTCTGAGTGAGTTACTCGAAAGGTAAGGCTCAGAATTTTAGATTCACCATTGGCTCAGTGATATTCAACAATTTTCATGATAAGTTCTGATTGTTGAGTTACTTTTTATTATCTTTTGTTTATACTATTACAGCTACTGAGCAAAATGCTTCCATCTTTCTCATGATATTGACCACAACTCATTGGATATTTTCATGATTAAAAACATGAATTTAACCAACAATTTAAGCAAAAGAATATGATTTTTCATCATTTTCAATGCTGTCGTTTAATTGCTTACAGTTAATTTCAACTTTTACCTTTAATTGTTTGAAATGATTGAATTTTTGACTCGGATTAAAGTGATTACATGTATATCATCCTAATCAGCATCTTCAGCATCAATATCATTGACAATCATTGTCTATGTGATTAAAGTTTATCTGAACAATTTATAAATTAGTTAACAAAGTTTTCACACTTTAACCAATCAGTTTGACTACAGTTGTTATCAGAACTTGAAGTGATTTAATTGTGCAAAAACCGGTGAAACAATTTAAGATAAACTTTAAAAATCTACCAATAATTAACTAATTTCTAACAACAATTAACAATGGATCTTAATGTGTTAAAAATTACTTTGTTTAATCTACTGGTAAGTAAATTGTTTCTCATTTAATTTCACCCATCAGTTGATTTAATTGTCATTATATTGAATCAATCATCGGAAATTTACTATTATTAGAAAAAAGTTTTTATTGTAGTTGAAAAATGTTCATTTTCTTGAATTCGAACTTTTTTTGACAAAAGTTCATCAGATGATCCATTTAACCTTCACCAAGGTATATTAATAGTATTGTTTACATGATAAAGTTAATTATATTTGTATTATTCTGAATATGAATTATTTTCTAGGAAAGAAAATCAAAGTTTTGGTTAAATAAACATCGCCTAAGGGAATGAAGACTATTCAGAACTTTTCGATTTCTTCGAACTTTGTTTTCCTTTTTCCTTTTTCCTTTTCGCTTCTTCTTAGCTCTTTATTTTCATCAATTTCCAATTCAATGAATGAGGAATAATATATCACGATAATGATAAAATAAGAAGAAAAAAAATTTGACATGAGAAACGAAACCCTAATGAATTATCATTATGGTAAAAGTTCAGACTATTATTGAATCACGATAATAACTAGATTAACTTTCACATTGATACATCTTTTCACTTGGCTGAATCAATGTTAATCATTGAAAAGAAATCAAATCTAATTTGATTGTAATCAAGTAGCTACTTTATTGGACGAATGGAAATCAAAAAGATACCAAACTAAATCGTAGCAGAAAAAAGAAAAATTTTCATTAATATTTGATTGTTATCGAAAATTTTTCAACCTCCCTGGTGACAATTAACCTTTCGGGTCAATCTGATTGTTTAATTCTTTCAGTATTGGCTTTAGTTGCAACTGAATCAAGTTAGTGGTCACAATTGACCATCCCCTTGACCTTAAAGTTGAATGTGAATTATGATCACTTCAAAGGAACAGGAGATTGAAGAATGAATTTGATTATCAAATTCGAGTGAAAAGTTATCATGAAGTTCAGAAGAAAAGAAAATTTGTAGAAAAAGTTGACATTCTTATTTCTATCGTGACATTTTATCTCTTTGATGAAGACTCTATTTTTCCATGATTACCTGTTGAGAATTTTTTTCAATCTCATTATTTAATTGTACAGAATATACGAAAGTTCATCTGTCTCTCTCTCTCTCTCGTTTTCTTCTGATTTCATGATGATTATATTTTCTTTGTGTGAATCAGTTTAATTGATTTCTATTTAAATCCAAGATATGAAAAGTCCACTGAAAATCACGGTTAAGGAAGAGTTAAAGTTCATGACGAAAATTTCCATCCAGAGTAACCTATTGATGGTTTATTCTTATCATGAAGATGAATTGTAAAGATAATTCAAAGATGATGACAAAAAAGGAAACATAAAACTCACTGGGAGTTTTGTACAATGATAATAATGAAAACTATTCCAATTTCATGGAGAAAATATCATAATACTTAACATGATATTCCAATGAAATAGACATTGGGAAATCTGTAAGTCAGGATTAAGAAAAAAAAAAGATGAAAATGTTTCACTAAAAGGAAGTTGAAAGAATCGTTTCCGTTTCCGATTATCATATTGATAGATAAAGATCACATGCTAATAATAATAAGATATAAGTGTTGATACTGATTGTCCATGAATACAAATGATAAGAAAGGTCATTGAGATTGAAGTGGGTGAGAGGATATGATCAGGGTGATATTTTATCACCTTCTCATTAACCTTTAGCAGAAATATCAGAATCCCAGAACAGGGGGAAAAAAGTCCAGGAAATAATGATTTATAACCATTGAGCAAATAAAAAATAGTTAAAAGACAATTGAATGGGATTAATTGTTGATCACTCAACGATGATTGTAGTAAGTAATTGTCAGAGTAAACATCTTAATCTTCAATTGTGTCTTCGATGACGAAATAATGAAAAGCAAAAAAACGAGACTGACCAATTCTGAATGACCACAGGGCAGATAAAAGGTTGACTGAAACTGAAAAAAGGGTCAACCGTTAATAATAAAATGCCGAAAGGATCATGAGTTTTATCATTGCGCTTACATGATGATGATGATAATGTTTGTCCGAATGCTAAAAATAAGATAATATCTTGAAGGAAAACTTGTTGAACTTTTATCGCTCAAATTAGATTGGTCAACATTGTTCATTAGTTGATTGGTCATCTCAAACTCTGATCATCTTTAAGTTCATCGTCTTTTACCTACGTTAACTAATATCGTCTTTCGTCAATACTATTAACCCATTTTTCGGGGAAAAAGTTATCATGAAACTTTTTTCTTTCATTTTCGAAACAAAAATAAAAACAAGAGAAAAAGTTTCAATCTTAATTTTATTCCCAATTCTCTTCATGATGTTACAATTGATGAATATTAATAAATTGTTGCAAACTTTTTCTTCTTTTACAAATATCTCGAAACTACATGTTGTATTAATTGATTATTTCCGTTGACTAATTCATCAAACATTCATCAAGAGATTAATTCAATTCTGGTGAGAATTACTTTCAATCAATGAATGAGTATAATAATTGAATTTACTATAATTTCAATCACAGTTTACTTTTACGTATATTAAGTAGCCATATATTAGATCATTGAATGATTCATTCAGTTTTGATGAAATTTGACTTTCATCAAATTGAAATAATGTTTCGTTTTCATGATAATCTCGGGATTTCATGTCCACTATCCGATAGGAAAAAGAAATCTGAATTTCCAATACTATGAGAAACTTTTGTGACAGAAAATTTTTCTTTTTGTTTCTATTTATCAAGATCACAAATGAAATAAAAAAAAAGGATTAAGATTTATTACTTTTCATAATCTAATCCAGGGATCAGAATTACGATAAGATATTAGTTAATCCATTTAGGTTTAACTTGGAAACAATGAACAATTCAAGAGTATCTGTGAGAGAGGATCAACGAATTGAAGATGAAAATGATGAGAAAGATGAAGACAAGTGAGTGATTGAAAGAGAGAGAGAAAATTATTGGCAATACATTAAAGAGCAAATCTCTTCTTCGAATGAAGAAAAATCGAAATGTTCAAATGTCAAAATTTCGTTTTTCTCCTGATCTTATGATTTCGTCCTACAGGAATCAAAGATAATCTTGAGTGATAATCGTTCAAACATGTACACCGATTTGATTGGAGTTTCTGATTAATGGTTAAAACAATGAGAGTTACAAACAACTTATCATGAAAATTTATCATGAAAAAGGTTAAAAGCTGAACGGTCAATCGGGTTGATTGTTGTTACATGAAAAAAAAGACACTCGGAGTAAATGTTATGGGGAAAACTTGACCACTGAATAAGTAATGAGGTTATTTATTATTCTTGAGTAAATTTATCATGAACAATTTGTCAAATTGAGAGATAAACAAAATACATTTGAAAAAAAAGGTAACTAGTTACATGATGTATACGAGAAAAAAAACTGAACTTCATTCAGAATTAACTTTTACCGCTTCTCATACCCAGCTGATTACTATTGATGATGATGATGATGATGATAAGATAAGATGAGATGAGATGAGATGAGAATTGTAACTATCTTTAAATAGCCAGAACAGGATCAATTGTGATTCCAAATGATTGTGATTATCTCCGTTTATAATCATGATCCTATTATCACTCGAACATTATTTGTACTCAGCAAAATGGTAAAGTTTATCATCCTCAAAGAATTACACTAAAGTAAACGGAAAGATGAAAATACTGGAAATTGATCTTCATCCATAATGATCATCATCATCTTCATCTTTTATTTAATGTCACAAAGGAAGAAACAAAAAAATATTCACCTTCAGCTCAGGTAGATAAACTTTTCCCCTGTTGTTTTTCATCATTAGAACTTTATTTTCGGTGTCTATTAATAGTATCCAAAACTTACCTTTGTCTTAACACCTTCATCATCATTATCATCATCAACAACAACACTTACCTTGTTCATGTCATCATCAAGTTACCTTAAATTGTCATCAATGAATGTCCACTAATAGACTTATCATAATAATAAGTTAGCTTTTATTTTTTTTTCTCCTTCATCATTTCCTTATCCGCTTATATTTTGATGACATAATAATCTTAACTTATTGAGGAAAAGTCATACTTTTCTGATCCAATTTTGAAAATTTCCATTTCATGTCCACCTAATTACAATTAGTTAATTTCAATTAAAATTAGATTAAGTTCACTTTGTGTATTGTAAAACAAGAAACACAATCAATAAAATGAAAAGGTTAATCAGAGCAGCCTAAATGTGAGATATCAATGAAGTTTAATTAGATTAATAATAAACATTAACCATTAAGTATTTTTATTAATAAACATCAGAAATTAGTTGATTTGATTAACTCGGAATCCATTTAATTAACCATTAGCTTAATTATTTATGTACTAAAATAACAACAACAACAAAAACCAGAGTCTAATTGTAATAATAATAAAATAATATATTCAATAATAATAATAATGATTTATATATTTACATGAATATCGGGTAATAGTAATAATCAGAAATAGTTAATTGTGATTAGTTTAATAATAATAAAAACGTGATTGTTAACATTTACCAGTAACAATTTGTTAATCGTCCAGTGAAATATCATTAAATTTGATTGTGATTATGATTTAGCAATTGACTCGGAACAATGAATCTAAACCTATCATGCCAACAGGTTGTTACAATTTATTGATTTAATCGTTTGTGTAAATCAAATGTTAATAATTATTAATACAATTAACTTTAATTGATTATTGTTTTCTGGTTGAGGTTTTCTGGTTTTAACATTAATCGTTTATCTTGATTAACTTAAACAGTTAATTACAAAACGTTAATCATAATTAATATAATCAGAATCTGATAACTTTGATTGATTAATTTACAATTTTCTTGAAAATTTTGATTGTTTCCATTTCAACAATCAGCTAAATTACTAATAGTATACACATGATTTTAATTAACTGCTTCTCAATTAACTTTTTCTTGACAACAATTAAATGTGTAAGCCAAACAATTGCCAGAAAAAAAAGAGATGATTAAATAATCAAATTAAATTGAATCATGTTCGTTGTCATCAATTGATTCATCATCTTTTGTTGTTGCTTGAATAATCAAAATTGATTATCTTGATTTCTCAATTCTGATAAGTTATCATGATAATAATCTGATTGTAAAAGTTGTCAAATTAAATAAAAGCAATCAAATCACATTGGGATATCAAAGGTTATAATAAACAAAATTGTTAACATGATGATAATCAGTTGAGAATGTGATGGAAAAAAAAAGTTCTGAATAAAGTTCTGATCTAAAGAGTTCGTAACATGATAACAATGATATTTTTACCTTGAAAAGCTGATGAGATTCATCATGTGAATTCAATTCGATTTCATGATGGAATTAGAATTTGATATTTTTTTTCCCTGTTACTCTTTCATTCTTACCTTTAATCAACTTTTCTTCATTCAGATTAACCTTTAATCATTTAAGTAAATTGTTGATAACATTAAGATTTAAAAGTCTACCCTTTGGGTTGCGAAAATCAAAAGTTAACAATCCGCAAGATTATATTGGTTGATTTATCAGTAATTAATTTTTAATTGTTTCGTAATGGTTAGATAATAGGATTAAGATGATCAATTATTAATTGATTGAGATTATAATTTATTGAAATTAGGATATTAAATCAAATTAAGTGACAGATTATGATTATTTGTTTTATTTCAAGTTCCGTTTTTGGATAATAAAAATTAAACGAATCATTTTTTTGTATTGATTAACAAGTAATTAAATTGAATTTACCTTAACAATCATTGGATACGATTAACTCTTGATCATTGACAATTTACATAAATTGTTTGGATCTGCTTAAAGGGGAAAAATTTTCTATTTCTATTTCAATTTAAATTAAAAGTTTAAGTAAATTGGAACACAATTAACTTTCAATACAGTTTCAAGCCTAAAATTTAGCAATTTATTTAAACAAGGAAAGCTAATTAGCTGAGACAATTAGGACAATTTGATTGATAAAACACTTCAAGTACAAAAGGTTATAACTTATTTCAATTTCAATTGTTACCAACGAGACTATTGTAAAATATAATAGGCAATGCACAAGGTAAGGTCCAGGTAATAATAGCAAAAAAAGGTAAGTTATTGTTATTTTAATGCACAGGTAACAGAAACAACAAGGTTTGTCAAATGCCCTCAGGTCAAATTTAGGTAAAATATCAAAGAGAGAGAGAGAGAGAGAGATAAAAGTGCAACAATTTAGTTGACTATTAAAAGTAACAATCAGTATTGTCAATTTTTGGCTTAAAATGAAATAACAAGGTAACGGTTTGATTATCAGTTTAAATTGTTTACTATTTCATTTGCTGATTGAATACTTTGCATTACCTTTGATAACATTAGATTGAAAATATTACCTTTGACCTGGAGACTTATTGTTATCCTGATTATCTTGTGTCAATTATAGTGGCGAAAAATGCCCGAGGGCAAATCGCTGATAATCTTACATCTACTTATCTAAGAAAACATTCATAATAAGATTGTAATTATAACATTATTATTATACAACAATCACCTCATTGTCCTAACCCTGTTGAGTTGTTTAACCTTTGATTTAATTTGAAAACTTTGTTTAATACAAGATTTTTTTGGTTAAATTTCTGTGATTTAATTTAATACGATTAAATTAAACGAGTGATTGAAGAAAAAAACTAGTCAATCTTATTGAATTTTAAATCGCTTGAGAGTGACAGTTAATTGTTTTATTACGTCTTCTTCTGATTACCCTGATTTACTTGAGCTAATTAACAATGATTACGATTAATATTATTAGTTTACTATGGGATTTGATTGAAAAGTTGATCAATTTGATTATTTTCCCATTAAAATTAACTGATTCCTTTCATTTCGTCACCAATTTGAGCTAAAAATAGTCCGAGAACTTTTTTTACAATTAAAAACTTTACTCACCCTCAACGTGTTGTTGAACAATCTCAGATTCAATAACCATGTTAACATGATGATTATCATATTATTATAATCAACGATTATCAAAACAATATAATTTGTTCAGATTCTGAATTCACCATGAAAAGAGATTAGGAAAAATGGTATAACTTTTTTTATACTCTTCCTTTTAGTGATAACATTTCAAGTCTATTATTAATTTACATCATGTAATTGAGCAATTATCTTCTAATTGTTGGATTTTTCATTTTTCTGTTAATTTTTTCATGCAGAACAATCATGATTCTTGATGATAGGAATTGATTTGGAACAATTAAAATCTAATATTCATGATTAATGTCGATCACTTTTATTGATTAAGTCTAGAATCTGGATTCAATGAGTAACCTTATTTTAAATGCTATTCATTTCACTATCATCATGGTGATTGTTATCATAATCTTCTCGGACAATGGTCACTTTTAATCAAGATAATCTTATGAGCCTATCATTTTTTCAGTAACTATGTTTCAAAGATACAAATTAATTGCTATCTTTGAGTTTTTCTCTACGGATTAAGGTGAAAATAGACATTATATTGAATTGGAAAAACATTTCGATAAAATGTCTTGATCTTAGATCTTTTTGATTTAAAGGTCGATTACAATAAATCGATTGCTCTCAACGACTAAGACCTGAGGATCAAGTTGGTTAATCAAATTTATCTACAATCGATGAAGAATAAAAGATTTACAATCAAGATTATCTGGATAATGGATTAAGATACTTGATAAATTGTCTCATTTACCGATTGATTATTTATGATTGAAATTGATTGACCATCTATCCTTGTGGGCAGTTGATAATTTAGTTGATATTTTTTTTTCATGGAAAATTTTAATGCAAAAAAAGTTTCGATCAAAGTTTTTCACTTTATTTTTCTAGAACTGACCTCAAGTTGATCTCATGTTGAAATTGAAATGATAAACAGGGATTTAGATTTGATGGTAACTCAAAGATTCTTGGTTCATGGATTGAAGATATAAACAAACAGAATCATGATTCATGATGTTTATCTGTTTGTTTCAGAAGAAACAATAAACATATAGTATTTATGAGCCCAGAATATTTGTAACAATAAATTCTGAGGTCGAAAAAAAAAGAGCTTCAAATAAACTAGTATATTTGGCTAACAAGAATAAATATAACAGGTAATGAACATTTCTCGAAAGTGATGGGATTTACCATGATAAAGATGATGAGCAACTAAACAATAATCAATTCTAATAATATCAGAGAGAAGAGAAGTTCGAAAACTTGAAATTCTCAAAACTTTCCAATATATGAATGTTCCAATGTCAGAATATTATTGTATTGAGATATTTCTTTATTCCATCTACTTTTCTTTTTTTTCTCGATGACACATCAATGAGATTCAACTGATAATGATCATTAAGTTCATGATAGAAAACAATTTGTTCAGAGAATCTAATCATCATTAACATCGCTCTATCAAGTGATGATTCCTAATTCCCAGATGAATAACACCTGATATCAGAAGATGAGGGAATGTTTCAGATTACCTTGAAGAAGTCGCTGTTACTTTGACGATAGTCCAACAGAAAAGTTGATCAACAAACTATGATCACAATGATAATAATTATCATGTCATGATGATGAAAAAAAAAGTGAACAAGATACAGTTAAGCTCATCAATCATAATAATACACCAACTCTCAAAAATTTGAACGACAGACAGTTGAACACCTACACCAACCAACCCACTTAAAAAAGTAACAGTAAAACAAATACAGAGTTGAAATGTTAACTGTCAATTCTTGCGCTTTCACCAGGATACGGAAATGATGAGGACCGGACAATAACATTTTGTTTACCTGCGATCGTTTCAAATACTAATATAATCATCATCGTTTTCTCAATGATTATTATTACCTGGAAAAATATGATCTTTCCTTTATTGTGCTGTTGTTGTTGTTGTTTAAAACTACAGGAAGTTGTATTACCTTTGACAACCGGAAGATTAACCATAATAACAAACCTAATGTTTTAAAGTGTTGACTGTTTTTGATTGAATTAAATTAAATTTGATTGTTTAAAGCTAATCCATTGATACTTATTATCACCATTGATGATTGATTTTAGGCTCAAAATAAACAAAAGTTTCAGTATGCAAACCTAATCAATTCCTGAAATTGATTACATTTGATGAGGAAAAAAAATTTCCGGTTGTCATGTAACCATAATAATCAAAGGTATCTAACTTAAATTATCACATGTAAATTACTATTATTAATACTATTGATTGACGATATAAATTTGTGCAGGTAATATTTAAATTAGCTCAATAAAGTTGAATGTTACCTGAGGTAGAAAAAGATGAAAAAATGAAATTTTCGAAATTTAAATTTTGATTCAAATTTTCATGACGATTTTATTTCTCATTTATTCAGATTCTGTTTAAGTTCAGTAAACGTGTATACATTTTTCCAATAAACACACTGTTGATTTACTGATTGTTTCTCATGATTATCTTTAGGATGAGTTAGTTTATCGTTAAGAATGTGCTGTGAATTGAGAACTGACTGATCACCATGAAGAACTGAACAAAGGTGACATAAATCATTTCGAGCTAATGAAATCTCATGGGTCTGTTTCCATTGGATATAAGTTGAGTATTGATTTAGATCGGAGGCAATTAGATTGAGATGATCACCGAGTTCATGGAGAGTTGAGAAATGAAGTGAATTAATGAATGAACTTTTCGGTAAATTGTAATCATCCTCGTTAAATATAATCGGATGGGCAACAATTGGAATTAAATTAGTTGAAAGGGCAAGATAAACAAATGGAGAAACAAATTGTGGACAAATTAACGATTGCCAATCAAACAGAAACAGATATGGTTCAGCAATTGATTTAAAACACAATTCCAATGATTTATCATCAATTAAAGATGGACAAACCTTTTTATCACATAAACTGACCAGGTCAATATCAATTCCAAGTCTTTCCATTATCGTTGCAAAAGTAATCAACTCTTGATCAATATTACAATCAGATGTAACAATTAGAACCAATTTCCTCTTATTCCTCCATAAATCAAATGCAGATTCATTAGTTTCATTAATTTTATCACTTGATTGACCATTACGTTGGTCAGTATTATCTTGATTCTGTTCCCTGACGCCATCTATTAACTTTTTTTCAACCAAAACTGGACGATAAGTTATATTGGCCTGATAATGATAAGTTAATGTTAAATTGAATTTAGATTGTAATGATTTTGACCATTCAATTGGAGATAATGAGTAAAATATGCTAATCAAATGATTATTAACAATTGTTTGGGTTAATTGTTCATTTGGATGGAGGTGATGGTCAGTGAAAATAATGGCATCACTTATATTAATTAGGTTAATATCATTTGTTATGAGGCAAAGTTTTTCATGTTCATTTGGACAATGAGAAAACATTGATTCACTTGTTGATAAATGATTATAATTGTTAAATTGATTAGCATTCTCATAGATGATCACCTTATAGTCCGAATTGATTTTCAAATTGTTGATCTTGATTCGCATCAATTTAGATTCACTAGTTGATTCATCGTAATCATTGGTATCCTTATCCTTACCCTCAACGATCACAGTTGATTTAATTGTCTCCTTTTGGTTAGCTTGATTGTTGTTATTTTCTTGATTGTTACTATTAGCTGATTGTTCAGTATTCATCTTTGATAACTCATCAAATGTATGGTCTTTATTTTTCTCGTGTTTAATTTGATCATGATTGTGATTAGTTTTGGGTTGTTGATGATAGTGAAGATTGTCAAACGGATCATAATCATTAGTTTGCTCTGATTTCATTTGATAATCTTTAAGACAAGGATAATTGTGATTAGTTTGATTGTTGATATCTAATGGTTGGGATTGACTTACCATGAAGTGGATTAAACTTTGAGGTGAAATCTCTTGACCCAAATGACCCTGGACCCAAACCGTTGGACAGATAATTGTGAGGTAATCCAAGGCCTGATAAATCACCAACAACATTTGATTCTCGTCGGAATTTAGTTTGTGAATAAAACATTACAACAATTGATGGAATCATCAACAACAATACAGCTAATTTAACCTTTTGCTGGGGTTCGGTATCATCGATACCATTATCGACTCCTTGACCATCGGTATTATCATCAACATCGGACACAAAACCTTTCATAAGGTGATATCTTGGCATCGATCCTTTTCTAGCATTGGTACTAGAAGATTTAATCTGATTAAGATTGACTGGATTAATCAAACTGTTTTGAAGTGAATTGATTTTGGTTGACTCTTTTTTTGACTCCAGTTGATTGTTAATTGTTGATGATACATTGATTGTCTTGTTGATTAACTTTTTGCGACCTGGATTAACTTCAACTTCATAGGTAACCCATTGTTTTGATCGGGTTCGTCGTCTAAGTAAAGTTGACGGAGCTTTGGGTCGATACCATTGGGGTAACATGAGGCCAACATAATTTTTGCTTGGTAATTGTTGATGTTGATTACTGGTGAGAGCAAATTGTTGTTGTAGTTTAATTATATCAACGTCATTTTCACCAATTTGTGTTGATTTTTCACAGAAAATCCGATTGCATGAGGTAGTAGATGATGTTGTTGTTGTTGATGATGTTTTGGTTGTTGTTAATGGTGAGCTAATTGAACTCTGCATTGGTCAACAATCAGCGCACCCAAATCATGATCAAACTGATCATCAATTGGAACTGGTCAATTGAATAAATGACTGGACATGTTAAATATTAAATACTTTTTGATTTGGGAATTTGCTTTGTTTCTCATTAGTATAACAACATTTTACCATTGGTCAGCATGAGAAAAGGTGAAAATATCAAAAAGCAATCATTATGATGATGGAAATGAGTGAGTGAGATAGAAAGAGCTATTATTAATAAGATAGGGGAAGCAAAAAGAGCCGGTTGAGAGAGTTAGAGAGAGAGAGACATATAATACAAAAGAAAAGAGGGAGAAAGGATGACAATGATGATAAGATCGATCAAGTGAAAACAAAAATATACTATTAGGGAGTCATAGTAAAGGTATTAATCAGCATCGCCCAGGGCAACAGTTGTTATCATATTATTATCAGGTAATAATTCATTACACAACAATCGATAAACCAACTGGACATAATGATAATGTTTCGAGATAATCTCTTGCTGGACAGTTAACTTTTTCTCTCTCTCTCTCTTAAACTCCCTCGGCAGTTATCAGGCCTCAACTTTAATTGTTAATAATTAACTAGATTAAAAGTTGAATAAAAAAGTTCTAGTTACATAATTTATTGAAGCGAAAACTTTTAATCAATTTAAACGATTGTAGTGTTATGTTTGTTATCATTTAAATTAGGTGACAAACTAAATTAATTGGTTATTGATTATTGAATTTTTTTGCTATTCAATTGTTGTTGTTAATCAATTGTTAATTTATATGGTGACATATAATCATTAACGTTGATTGCTATCAGATGAAATCTGATTGACAGAAAAATAAAAGTTTCCAACCTCATGATAACCTTGATTTGATTTATTATTCAAATTGATCAATAAGTTTTCATGTTTTATTCAGTTTATCACCATGATGATCATTATGATAACTTTTTACGTTTCGATATAATCACTGGAACAAAATGACAATTAATTAGAGAATATTTTCTAATCAATCAATTGAGGTCAATAATGGAAACTTTGATCAAGCCACGAGAACTTTTCTTTGGCATATCGGTAATAAGATTCCAAGAAAAGTTCTAAAAATTATCGAAAAAAGAAAATAAGTTGGAACAATTATCAGAATATTGATTAGATTTTTGTTGACATTCGAGTCGATTGAATTATTAATCAGAAAGTTCATTAGAACATAGTAAGTTCGAAGCTCGAACAGACAAAAGGTCGACATTTATATTTCAATGTAATTCTATTATAATAGATCGATGATTTTAAATTGATTCTTAAAAAAGTAACATGAATTTTTTATTCACCGATTATTCAAAACCAGTCATTTACAATTCATGATAATGTTTCAATGGCGATAAATAAGTTCGACTCATAAATCATTAATCTATTGAAATAAATGTCACCATGATGATGGTGTCCTTCAAAGGATATTGTTGTCAATTGTTTGTCCATTTTCAAAATTGATTCAAATTGGCTTTCAGGTGATATAATAATCATCTAAACTCAATGTTGATTAAATCAATCATATTGAGGTGAAAAAATCACATGTATCATTTATTTTATTGAATTTTGGTGCACTTAGAGCTGGAAACAAAATGTTTATTCAAGATTGTATTTCATGATAACTTTGGATAACATTGTAAATGTTATTATTACTTATTATTCAACATTATTATAAAGTAATATCTTCACCTGATACATGTAATCAATTCAAAGTTGAACTTTTCTATCTTAGGTAAATATTTTTATCGAAAAGAAATCTTTAAATTTACCTGAGTATTTATCATGTCTGAGCAATTGGAACTTTGTATGTGAATCTGTTTATCTCAACAGAGGAAAAGGTTTACCTGAAATTTGCACAATAAAAGGTCATCATTAACCAATCCAATCACTAATATTTATGATCGAAATCGATATTCAAGTTGATTAGAATCGTTTTCTAATAATAGCAGGTCGATATCAACAGCTATCGAAATTTTGATTCAGAATCAACCTTCTTATAGTTTTCGAAATTACCAAAACTCAGCTGATTAAATTTTCTGTAAATCTTTAATTTTAATCAACAACCAACTGAGAACTAAGATTTTTCCCCATTTTCTGAAAAAAGTTCAAATGCTTCCGTTTACCATGAATAGTTAAAATCGTAATTGTTTCTGAGTTGAAAGATCTTCAAATCAATTTCAGCTGATCATTTACTCTATGAAAATTTCCATGGTCAAGAAAATGACCTTAGACAGTAATAGATTTATATTCTTGTAATTTGTAATGAAGAAAACATTTAAATTCTAACTACAGGAAAGGTAAAGTTCATTAACGAAAGTTTAAGACGAAAAAAAGAAAATTTCTCCAAGGGGATTCACAAGGCGACTCATTGAATAAAAATTCTGACTTTGAATCATGAGTACAAGCTCATGAATCCTCATAATCATGTTATAAACTGATCAACATGATAGTTTACCTACAGGAACAATAGTTGATCTCAATTGTGGGATCTTAAATATTTTATTCAACTCTTTACCTTTGATAATATACATAAATTGTAGGTGTTGAGTTTCAATTCTCAACTGAAAAGTTCAGAATAAGTTTTGGAAACAGAAACTTGAATGAATCTTCACTTTGTAAGAAAATTGGTTTGAGTAAATTATGGATGAAAAGTAATATTAGATGAAGAAGCTCGAGTTTGGTGAGATTGATGACAGAATATTGAGTAAGAAGAATTGTCAGAACTTTTCGAATTTACATAAAAATCAAATTTTATCAAAAAAAAAGAAAGAAAAAAAGTACTAAGAATTGAATAAGTCACAGGGAACAAGATAAAGATCATTAACTAAAGAGGGAAAATAAAAGAGATTATTTTTATCTTACAACTTTTATTCCGAATTCAATTCAGTAATAATATTATCATTTCGAATTTCAGAATCCTTATTAGTTACTATTTTCTCTCATCATGTATAATCTCATGACGTTTTCTTTTCTAAGGTATTTATTTGTATTCAATATCCATCAGAATTGTCATAAGTATAAGATAATTTCACCATTTACCTGATCAATTTTTAAGCAATCATGGAAACAGAAATCATGATGAAATCGGTAACAAGTTTAGCCAATTTTTTTCACGAAGTTCTCACCGAATTCTGGGTTCCAATGTTTGAGTAAACTTATTATTCCAGATTGAATCTAAATAAAAATCGGTGACCATTTAAGTTGATAAAAATTTCCAATAAAATATTCCCATCATATTATCCTCTGTCTCAGTTGATATTTTATCAGTTTTTTACTACCACTCACCAGAATATTATCTTATTATTGAAATAACCTTTTCGTCACCATCATCATACTTTCAAGTTAATAAAAACAAAGCTGATTCCTACGATTTCATCATGATTTCTCTGAATTTTACTGACTAAATCTTCACATCTTTGCATTCGTGTCGACAGCAATTTCTATGAAACTAAGAGTTTAGATAAACTGATTATTTCAATACTCTTCTACATTGAGTTTAATTAAATTGACTTTTATTAAGTGAGATGGCAATCACGAGAACGGATTAGGCGGATGGCAACAAAATTGGAACTCCTGGTGAAAGGATGGTAGAAGATTACTACAATTATGTTCAATACAGTAAAGTAGTAATCACGATTACACCTGAATTAACTTCACTGAGAACATCAAAACCTCCGTCAACAACAACGAAATGTATAAAAATTATGGCCTTAAGGATGTGGAATTGTTTTACAATTCGGTGTCCTTCTCGGCTTTTAATTGGAAAATTGGTGATACTGTGAAACAAATTAAAAGCGAAAAATGGTATAAAAAAGAGTTCATAAAAATCTTCTCAGAATCAAATGAAACTACGAAATTTGTTTTCTATCACGATAGAAAAGATGTTAGTGTTGAAGAAAATTTAAATCTGATGAAATCTTCCCCCAACGAATGGGACCAAATAGAAGTCATCGAGGTTAAAGAGGCCCCCTATGGTTTAAAAAGAGTAATTTTTACAAGCAACAGATCGTTAATAAATCACAAGGATTGGGTAATAAGGATGAAGGATGGATTAATCTACAAAATTGCTGACTATATTGGCCTAGAACAGTGTCTATACTGTTGAAACTTCGGTGGTGAAATTAGCTGTCCATGCAACAAAATCTACAATGCTCTAATTGTGGAGACAATAGAAACATACATGTCTCCAACAGATGCACGAAGACATCGAAGTGCCTAATGTGCAAAAGATATTCAGCACAAATTGACAAACAACATGTCACTAATGACCTTCAGTGTCCAACCCTAAGAACTGCAATAACCTTAAGAAAATGTTTCCATTGAAAACATATTCCTTTATCAGAATAATAGCTCTTTTCTGATAGAAATAATAATTCATTCGGTGAAGAAATCAATCTGGTTCCGAGTATTGGTAGTAAGATCAGAGTCTCCACTGGCGAAACTAGTCCTGTCACGGAAGAAAAGTTTGTTTCATAATAAAAGCAACCAAACTGAAAGTTCTTAGTAAAATATTGTTAACATCAAATTCATGAACCTCAATCAAAGTATTCATATTGATATAAATACAGGGCTATTCAACTTTATTTTATGCAGATTTTTAGTTATATGTCGAGAAACAATAAGTTTAAAAAGATCAAACCTCGTACAGATACATTTCGGAACTGAAGGACTTCGTATAAAAAGTTTCGAGGTCATTGAGGTCATTTGAAGGTTTTTTTGAAAAGAAGAACAAAAAATTATCCCATCTTTGAAGTTTTGGTGTCAATATCAGTTCAAATAACGGAGAGCCGTCAATTTGAATGAAATACGCAGTGGTTTAGCAAATTAACATAAATCGTGGTACACTGACAATTATTTGAATTATTATATTCATTCAAACTTGGATCATGAAATAATTTTCGGTTTTCTTTTCAAAAAAACCTTCAAATGACCTCAATGACCTCGAAACTTTTTATACGAAGTCCTTCAGTCCCTATATGTATCTGTACGAGGTTTGATCTTTTTAAACTCATTGGTTCTGAACTTATAACTAAAAATCTGCGTAGAATGAAGTTGAATAGCTCTGTATATGCATGAGAGAGGAAATTGGGCGATTATGTCTGATTTCATTTTGCCCAGTTACAAAAGTGAAAGCGAAAACTTTTGTCTAATTTCAATGAGTTTCATAAATTATTTCTGGTGATTCAAATGCTCAAATGTCATGACACTATTACTATGAAGTTTTAGCGAAAAATTGAATTAGAGATTTTCAGAATTTATCACCTCTAGATCAATATATTGTAACTTTATTCTGATTTTTCTTGAGGATAATAGTTGATAATATGATTTATCGTTTTAGGTTTTTTCAACGGTAACATCATCAGATGACTGGTTATACATAGCACCAAATAAGAAGTCAATTGGCTCAAGGAAACATAATCAAAAGTAAGAAATCAATAGAAAACCAGATCATATGGTGTCTATCATGAAAACCTTTTGAATTCTATTACAGATTAGCAATGGAACCATTTAAATTTCAGAATAATTTGATAAAAAGATTCTCACGTCGACCAATACCCGATTTAAGACCTTCCATTTTAATTGGACCATGGATATCAGAATGCTGTCCAAGTATCAGCGAGATAATTCAACCTAAAGGTAGAAAATGGATTAAATTAATGTTCAATTTTTCATGGAAAATTTGACTTACATTAATAATCTTTTTCTCCAAATTGATCAGGTGGAGTATCTAGACATGGACGAATCCTCGAATTATATGGAACTAATTCTTCACGACAAAGTTTCTATCAAACCTCATGTAGAGAAGGAGTTAAAAATAAAAACTGTCGCTATTTGAATCAGAATCAAAAACCATATTCGAGGTGTACTCAGAAATACAGTTACACCTATGCTATTGTGAGGGAATACGGTTCACCTCAGGTAAGAAAATCGTCATTTGGTTGATGATCAGACTGACAATTAATCAGTTCCTTTACCATCATAACTTTCCATCAACTCTTTACTAATTGATTTCTAACAATTAGCTTTATATGGTTCACGATTTAATTGAACAAATCATGATCATCATGAAATGAACTTTTTCACATGAGCCAATCTTAATATGATTCGATGAGCTACCAACATGTACAACCCAACTGATAACATGTTATTATCTCTTATATATTTTTTCAGTCGATTCCTTGGAGATTAGATCATATTCGAGTTCGAAGTGGATGTTCTTGTGAAATCTACAAACCAGATAAGAAATTTAATCAATTAGTTAATTGATTAGATTGTTAATCATATTCATACAACAGCAACAACTAAATCCGATCAACAAACACCAAAATCAACAATTAATAACCAAAGGATCTCAACGAGTTATTCAAATCACTTGGTATCAAATTGGAAATTTAAAATCGATGATAAAATCAATACAATGATATTTGTTTCCAATCAGTTGATTGTTAATATTATCAGAATGATTTGGAAACAATTAATTGATGATAATTGAAGCAAGAAAAAAGTTAATTATGATTACAAATATAATATTCTGATATTAATTAATTTCATCTAGTTTAAGATCTGTCGTTACAATTTAAAGCTAATCAATTTAATATGAAAGGTTAATTGTACAATTTAAAAGTGATAAAGTCAATCAATTTGATTATCGTCAATTATTGTTTTTGTTAATTGTTTCAATTGTTAACAAATTATCAAATTAATTGTCATCTTCTTCATCATCATCATCATCGTTTCATTTAAATCATATCACCATGAAATTGGAATCACAATAAATTGTCATTAAAAACAATTTTCTCATTTGATCAAAGAAATTAACTAATTGTTGTCTCATTTTTTATTATTTCCTTTTGATTAACAATGATAATCATAATTTAGTGATTGTTTATCTTAAAGTTAATCAAATTGATTAGTCTTTTATAATGAACAATTTAAATATCAAATTGATTAGTTAATTGAATAGTTAACATTGAACTGTTAAGGTCAATCTAATGATCAGTTAATTGTTGATTAAATGATTCAAACATTTTAAACAGTCAATTTAACCATAAACAAAATATATAAACTTTTTTACTTAATGATCAGGGATTTAAATTATTGTTGATTGTTAATCATGGTAACAATGAAATTGAATAACTTTCACCTAAATTGTTGATCAATAATTGAAAATTATTCATGATTTAAATTGATCTCATTTTGACCTAATATTATTTAGATTGATTCATCAACAGAAATCAATTCAAATCCTCTTAATATTTATTGTTTCACCTTTGAGAAAAAAACAACACTGACCTTAAACCTTGATTGACCTAATTGCAAGTAAAACACATCACAAATGATATTGATTAACAATTAAAACCGGAAACAGATTAACAATTTGAACCCAAATTTTGATTGAAAACTTAATATCTGACAAGATAATCAAGAAGAAAACTAAATTATCACATCAATAACAGGGTTTGGTTAGTATTCAATTGATTTGATTTAATCCAATTCGAGAAAAGAAAAGTTCAAATTGATAATCTTCCAATATAAGATTTAAATTATTACAATAATTTGAATCGATACAAAATCAATTATCTAATAATACACATGCAATAATAATTTTAATCGTTAGCTAAACAAACGTAACGAAATATTCAACAAAAATAATCAAATACTCAACTTGATTGAGTTAATTGTTCAGTATATTAACCGGCCCAATGAAAGTTAAATATAATTGCCAAAGAGACACAAGGATAACCAGTGAGAGTTGATTGTTGGCCTGAATTAAAGTTAAATCACCCTGGTAAGAATCTAATAATACTTTTGATTAGTTGATTAGTTGATTCGTTCGTTAAATTGACCTTGTTTTCCCCCAACGAAGCTACGAAAACCATGAAAGAAAAAGTGAAAACTTTTTTCTCTCTCTCTCTCTCTTTCTCTTATTCCCAAAACTTTTATCATTCACGGTAAGTTGATTGTTGGAAAACTGAATTAATATTAACTCTCGTCAAACTGGTTTCTAATTCAATGTCTGTTTAAGGATATAAAATATAATTACAATTAACTTTCTCTTTCATTCAACAAGTTTTACAATCGTTACTTTGCTTAATTACTTTTTCTCTCCAAAAGATGGCGTTGCCCTAGAATCGTTAGTAACGTTGTTGTTGTTTCGTTGTGAAAGTTAAACGTTGTTTGTAGTTAATTTGATTTGATTTATCAACTTAAACACTTTTCACTTGTTACTTGATTGTTGTGGTTGATTGTGAAGTAGATTGTTCATTTTTTCCTTTAACTTTATTATAACACTTATCTTTTTTTTTTACCTTTTCGTTTCAAAGTAAGGAAAAGTTTTTTTTCTGTTTATCCTGATTTTGTGATTAACTTTTTGATTATCTCATCCAAACATTAAATCGTAACACCATCAATGGATTAACATTGATTAAAGTTAACTACTCGGCTAATTACAGATTATCAATGAGATTCCAGTGCCAATAATTGAATACATGAGATGTGCCCAATGGATGAAAGTGTTTTAGTTAACCATTGATTTAATTTTTCGTCGGTGTCAATTGGATTGTTAATTTGAAAAACGCAATTAATTGTCAACACACAGATTAATTAATCTAATCTCGTTTGAACTGTGTTAATCTTGATTTACTGTCTTAAATGTTAACAGTATATTAATTTTGTCCCCTTTAATTGAATCAAAATTTACTGATGATCATCAAAATATTGAAATGAGGTCAATTGTTAACCATATTGTTAATCATTCAACTAATCAACAGCAATCTCAATCAACGGCGACATCATCAACATCATTATCCTCAAATTCAACAATAACAACAATACCACAACCATCAACAATTAATAATAATAATAATAATAATGTAAATCAAATTGAAGTTAACCAACAGCAACGACAATTAAACAACACCAACGTAAATCATGTTAATCAACTTGAACATAATAATAACACCGCCAATGAAACTAATCATTTAAATAGTGTAAATAATCAAGATAATAATATGACAAGCACAACAACTAATCATGTTAATCATGACAATCAATCATCGTCCATATTGCGACAATCACTAATCGGATCTAATACAAGGAGGACATTGAAAGGATTATGGCCAAACGGATTATCCCCTTTCTTTGCATCACTTTTGTGTTGTGCTAATTTTTATACAATTTGTCGTTTCTCATTATTAACTTATTTTCTCAAAGGTAAGTTAATCAATTGACAATTAAGAAGAAGAGGAAGAAGAAAAAATCACATCAGATGAATATTTTTAATTGCGCTTCGACAACTTTACCTGGATAATCAAGATTATCCAAGGTGATTAACTTATAGATTATGATAATGGTTTGTTACACTGATTATAATCATTGGATTAATGATAATGGTTACAAAATTCAATGGTAATACTGATGAGTTTGTGTCTATTGTTTTCAATATATTTGGTTAATCGTTTTCATTATCAAATGAAAAAAAAAATTTACAAAACAAAAAAATGGACAAAAAGTGAAAGTGACCGGAAGTTGATTCTGTTGTTTTTGGGTGTTGATTGTTTCCCTTTTCAGGGTGGATTCAATGTCCATCCCATTGAGGTGATAACAAAGCTCAGGTTTGAACTTTTCAAATTTTCTTTAAGCTTCAAGGTAAAAAAGGTCAATTCTAATCAGGATATAATAGAGTTTACGAGTTGGGTGTGTCACTGGAGAGGATTAGAGACAACAATTGATGAGAGAGAGAGAGAGAGAGAGAGAGAGAGAGAGAGAGAGAGAGAGAAAGAGAATGAAAAAAGGGAGAATTGAGTTCTTATCGTATTCCAGTAACGTGCCAATATCAGAACTCGATAGAATCAGGATATTCATGTAATAAATGAATTCGAAGTTGAGATGAAATCAATCGATGACAATGGAAAGTAGTTTAAGATTGGAATCATTGAATTAATCCTTTTGTTAATCGTTATTAACAATAGATTAAGACGATAGGTGATAATTTAAATTTTCCTCTTTAAATCATGAATGAAATGATTCACGAATTGTTACAATTTAATTTTTGGGTGAAAATTATGTTTATTTTGAAAAGTTTTCATTCATTGTTACCATTACCTGGCGATCATCAAGACAATACAATGAACAACAAAGTGATCGCTTAATTGTATTGTTAATTGATTGTTAAATCTAATTGAATGATTAAACACATTTTACCTTTAACAATACAATTAGATTGATTAGATTGCTGGTAATCAAATGTTATCATTTTTGTTAGCTAATGAGATATGATTGTAATCATTGGTAAGAACAAAACATTTTCTTCACCTGATGTTAATTGTCATTGGGTAACGATGATTAACTTTAATTCTAAGATAAATTGGTCGAAACTAATTTAGTTAATTGTTGATTAAACATGAGAAAAAAGCGCCGTGGAAAGTATGTCAACTGTGTAACAATCAATTTCAATTGCAGTAAAACATTAACGCAATTAAAGTTAATTCAGTTCAGAGAGAAAAAAGAAATTTAAAAAATGAAAGTTAAATGAATTTAAAATTAATCTTAATTTCCACAACAATTAAATTTAATTTACTGACTTTCCAATTTCTCTGGACTTTTCCGATGATCGTTTTTAATTAACTTAATCATGATTTCACCTTGGAATTGATTTTTCATCACTAATCCTAAATGATTAGTTAACTAATTAAGTTTATCCAAGGATATCAAGATATTAATTGTGATAAGGGGCGATTAATTTAATCATCTAAACAATTAACCACTAGAATATGTAATTAACAGTATTTGAAATATTGTTTACAAATTGATTGATTATTTAATTTTTCATTGACTTTATTGATCATTTGATTGTGATTAGATTAATCATTTAATCAATTAATTTAATTAGCAATTTTTACTCTCTACTTTTGTCTGTTCATTGATTATTGAGATTAATTGGCAACAATCAAATTGTTTCATTGATTTAATTGTGATGATTTAACTTCCTGATTTAATGTAATTTACTTTTGATTAACGTAACAATTGATTGTTACCTTTTTAGATTGTAACAATTAATGGATTGTTACCTTTTTTGATACTTTCGATAGTTTAAATTTAAATTGTTACAATTTACAAATTTCATTTAAAATTTTCATCTAAATTTAAATTTTATTTGTTAATAGTTTCACCAATTTGTTATCATGATGAAAAAAGTTTAATTGTTACTCGTTAGCTTGTTAATTGTTGAAAATTTGTTCAGTTTTACAGCTAATAATTAACCAGCCTTGCAATTGATTGTGACTATTTGTTAATTGTGGTTTTTTTCAGACATATATTTCACCGTTAGATTCAAATTTTAATTATCAACAATTAAATTGTTTATTTTTGTTCAAATAAAAAGCATTAAATTGTTACGCTGACCATTTAACTGACCTGATTGTTAATCATGGTTAACTTTCACTAAATTGTTGGTTAATTTGGTTTCTCAAAAATTTGATATTTACCTAAAGATTTGGTCTGATTGTGATTTAGTGAGAAAATTAATTTCAACCAGAATTAACCTAATCACTTCCGAGTTAAACAAAGAAAGAGCAACAATTTAACTTAATCATTTCAAAAATACAAACAAAAACTAAACAATTAACTAATTTCCTTTTCTCAAACCAACAATTAACAAAATTAGAAAAAAAACAAAAGACAAGTAATTAATTAATGATATTATATATTCTGATAAAGCTAATCAGTTAATTGTGATCATCTTCAACCAACTAAATTTATCAGCTGATGATATGTTATGATATATTAATTAACTAATTACTTAAACTTTTAATACACCAAGAGTTTAATGTAAACATGAATCAATTTCAATCTAATGATTAAGCCAATTTAGAAACGCACAAACTACAAAAACCAATGAAACATTAATTAATTAACTTGATTTGGTTATTGATGTGATTTTTTAATTTTCTTTGTTAATTGTTTGCAAACAATTCTAATTAACTAATTGTTTTCATTTTCAGGGCCATTTCTAGTTGAATTTACCTTCATAAGTATTTTTTGTGGTCTTCCTTTCCTACTGTTTCTAATGGTCCTTGGTCAGTACCTTGGCTCTGGTTACCTTGATATGTGGTTTATATCACCGATTTTCAAAGGTATTAAACTAATAATGATAATCAACACACAATTAACTGATTGTTACAATCCAAGTGAGACTTAATTTAAACGCCTTAACCTCAACAACAACAACAACAGCAAGAGAAACACCAACATAAATCCATTGTGTGTGTTTCCCTTTGATTGTTAAGATCTCAATTGGATTAGATGATTTAGAAGATTAAATTTGAGATTAATCATGTAACAATTAAACACTAATCAATTTTAATTCATCTTTTCTAATAGGAATTGGTGCAGCTTTCTTATTCTGTTATTCAATTATCTCTATTTACTCAATGGTTCCAATCTCATGGCTTCTCGTTTACCTGAGAGATTCATTTTTAACTACCCGCGATTCAGCCTACAAGTGGACTTATTGTAATCGACGTTATAATGGTGAAAGTAAGTGTAACAATTTAAATTTGTTCCAACAATCAAATTAAAATGATAAACTGCCAATCTAGATTGTGATGGGAAAATTGTATTTACCTAATTACCTGTTTCTTTTTTACCGTTACATTTACCTTATAATATTTATTATATTGTTGATCGTTTTGTTTGAATTGCTGTTGTTACTTTTTGCTTTTTGCTTGTTGATTGTTTGATTACCGTCTGTTGATTTTAAAAAACACAATCAACAATAAAAGGTAATCTTGTCAACCATTGATTAACATGGTGTGAATTATTGGCGTGTTGAGATTTACATTAATTGCTTAATCATTTGTTGTTTGCTTATGTGTGACAGTGTTGATTTGATTTAAAACTTGGTGTTCAGGTCAATAAGAAAATCAAACCAACCTTGACCAATATGAAAACTTTTGCTTATCTCTTGCATGATAAAAGTTTCTTTATCCATGATAATGTTGATTGCATGTGAATGATGAGATTAACTGTTGATTGACAACAATTAACTGGACCATCATTTCAATAAGATTATTTTGCCAAATTGTTTTGGAATCAAAAAAAAAGTTACTGTTCAAATTGTTACACTTTCATATGTATGAATATTAATATTTTCAATTGAACATCTCTCAACCTTACAAACTAAATTATGAGTGAATGGTCAAGCTAACCAAGTTGTAGTGGTCACTTGTGATCAATCAAAGTCAAGTTAAGGTTAAGATCATCAGGAAAAAAAGTAAACAATCAACAATTATAATTGCACGAACTTTTTTTGCTTCCAATTCAATGTTGGAAACTTTTTTTTGTATTAATTGTAATTTCGAGGATTAATATATTAAACTTTCATTTCTACTTTCAGGATGTTTCAAGGCCTGGAATAGTTCAACTTATGCCAATGATTACCTTGGATGGTCAGTCTCAGGATATTATCATAATACCGTTTTAGGTCAACAAGATAACGGCCGATTCTCGGCTTACGCTAAACTGAACATTATCCTTAATCTTGCGTTGATTTGGATCCTAATTTTTGTCCTTCTCTTCCGGGGTATTCATCATTCTGCTCGGATGATAATTTTCTTTGGAACTTTTCCTTTTATCATGTTTACCTTTGTTATCATTCGTTTCGTTGAGGAATTTGGTTCAGGGGTTGGTGGAATTTTCGTCCTTCCCGATAACTCGAAACCCTTTCTTGGTGATTCAACTTCCTGGCATTTTGCCGCTCGTGAATCATTCCTGGTTTGGACACTTTTCGGTTGCATCATCATGAATATTTATGGATCATCACGACCTGGAGTCTCACTAATTAAACACTGTTCATGCTTATTCCTGTTAACCATGGTGATTCTGATCTCATCTAGTTGCTTCTTAGCCTCATGCATGCAGATTATAAGCTCATCTAACCTTGAATACGTTTTCTCATCTTTCGGTAAGCTATTGAATCATTTTTGTTTTCATTTTCTATTAATTTATCATTAAAAGTAACAATTCATTTTCCTTCAACAATTAACATTCAATCATGATGATGGCAATTCAACAATCAGGGTTAAAAGTTGAAATTAATATCAATTTAATTGAGTTACTCATGAGTTTCATATGATTCAGCGATTCCAGGATAAATAATAATATTATATTTACACAATTATCATTAATGATAATTATGAACCGGATCTTTAATCAACAATCATAACTATATAGCAACAATTAAACCTTAATCATTAACCTTAAATAATGATAGATTTTGAAAGACAATAGATAATCAACTTTAATTTAATTGCTTCCAAAAAAATGTGACTTATATAAAATTTTTGTTTTCTTAATACAATTTAATCTTAATCACTAATCATGATTAAAATTATTCATTAATCAGATTGAATTGATTGTTGGTTAAATTGTTGATGATTAGATGATAGTTTTTTTTTCATTATTCGTAGTCATCAAAATGAGAAATAGTAAAACTTTTTCAAACCTTTTCCTTGATCCTAAAAATAAACTGATTGTCTTGTTAATTGTATTCCCTAATTGTATGATTATTTAATTGTGTTAACTGTTAGTTAATTGTTCATCAAACCTTTTAACAAGTCATGAATAGGTAGATATATATATTTATATGATTAAACAATTAACAAGATTGAAAAAGTTTCATCATTTCTGAATCAAGAGATGGTTGAAAAAATCAACGTTACAACAATTAACCAGCTCGTTACAACAATTTAAATTGAATTTAAAGTTTGAAAACATGACAAAAAAAGTTAACGATAACAATTAAATTTAAACAGGATCAGGTTAATAATATAATTACAACTATCAAATGATTAGATGATTAACAGAAAAAAAAATTTAATAGCAAACGATTTACAAGTAACATTAAATTGTAACGAAATTTGAACGAGAAAATTAAATTGTCGTAGTAACGAAACTATGATTTAGTTAGAATGTTTTTTTCTTCTTCGTTCTAATAAAATCGATTGAACTTTTCTCTTGACTTTTTCTTTCGTTGTTCGTTCATTTAGAGAAATATGGAACCGTTAATTTCGTTCGAGATTTACCTGGACCTAAATATCGATCTAAGGTGACCTTAGAATCGGGAGTTAATCTATTTCTGGGTGAGAATCTATTCTCATTGGAGTCGAAAAATTTTCTAAGTCAATATCAGGTTCTTCGTTGGGCAACAGAGATCATGCCCTTGGCCCTTGCTCTTAAAGGTTCGAAGGTCATCTCGTCTTTTTGGGCCACTTCGTTTTACCTTTCGGGAATTTTGATCTCCTTTGGTACTCATCTTGTGCTCTGGGGAACTTTGATTGAAACAATTATATCAATTTCACCTGATTCATTACGACAATCAAAGACAACCATTGCCTTTATTACTTCAATCATTGGTTTCTCCCTATCAGTTGCCATTAATTCATGGGTAAGAATCATCACAATTACATAATCAATTGATTAAATAATAATAATAATATTAACAATCAACTTATCATCGATTTAAAATTAAACGCTGATCCTTACTGAATATTAATCATGCTGAGATTTAACAACAATATCATTACCTTGACTTAAAGCATCAGTTTGTGTGTTATTTTCAACACTTTTAACAGTAAACACCTCCAATTATGATTAACAATTAAGTCTAAATCATGATTGATAACAGGATTTCAGTGGGTGGTTAGCTAGAGAAAGAGATAAAGTTAATTGTTTATCATGATTAAAACAAGAAACGCTTGAGATAGTGTTGAAATATATCACATTAGTGTAACTTATCAGCTTAAATTATGCTGAGAATTAACTTACAATCAACTAATTATACTAATTGTTGAAACCTTGATGGACAAACACTTATCATTCAAGGTGAAAATGTTGAAAAAATTTCAATTGTATTCATATGATTGGTTATGGTGGTCAGTTGATTTTACGTAATCATTTTGCAATTTAATCTCTTTGCTCATTTCTAATGGTCTCTCTCTCTCTTTTTTTTGTCCACAATCAACTAATTGTGATTAGACCAATGATCATATTATTTACTTTTTGGACTCCTGTTTATCATCAATCTGTTGGATTGCTTGTCTTTACCTGCTCATGATACTGGTCATCTTTGTTGTCCGAGGAAAACCCTGTACACCTCATGATCTAGTCTCTAATTTAACTAAGGATCAAAAGTTAATTACTTGGTTAACACCAATACTGACCTTCCATTGGAGTCTAATGATTCCTGCTACTTTAACGGTAAGTTAATTGTAACAATTAATCTTCAATCAAGACAAGTTATTATCATTATTAATTGCAACTTGATTGGTTTTTGTTTCATCTCTTTGGTAATCATTTAATTATTACAAACGTTTATTGATTCAATTTTTGTGATAATTATTTCATATATTAATAATTGTCATTAACTGTAAGTGTGATTAGATAATCGTTAATTGTTATGCTACAATTAACAGGTAAAACCTTTTGTCTCTTCAATAGCTTAGTTCAATTGAATTGATGTTGAGATTTTATCACTAGTTGCTAATTGTTGATGAGAAAAGTTAATTTTCTCAATTAATACAATTTATATTTTGAAATTTACTTTAGCTTTTTGTTTATAATAAATTGCTACAATTAACTATTAGTATAACAAACAAGGTTATTGACGTTTAGCTTTAACAATTAGTAAATTGTCCTTGGAAAAGAAAAATGAAAAAGCCTCTTGTAATTATGAATGACTGTTAATTGTTGTCAACTATTGATAACCATTAATATATTTTGTCTTTAATTATCATAATTGAGGATTTTTATATTGTCATCACAATACCCAACAATTTAGGCTTACAATTGATTGTTAAATGTTAACTAATCAAGGTTACAGAATTTTAATCAAGGTTTAATTTACTTTGTCACCAATGGGTTCGGCTAAATTGTAAACTAGATGATGAAAGAAACAAAAAAAATTATGGTCATTCCCTTGATTAGTGATAATCAAGAACAATTAAACTTGATAATCAAACTTGATTGTGATCAAAATCAATGAGTCAATGGAAACATTGATAAGTTACAATTACTTTGACAATATAAGCACACAATATGATTAAGCATTTTTTTTCTTACCCTTCTAATCAATAGTAACTAAATTATTTTCACAATTAACAAAAGTTAATTACGTTTCCTTAATTTCCTACTCACATTATTACAACTTTCGACCAATTCCTACCAACTGAGCTAGAGAATATCATTCATTAAATGACTCATTTTCATCAGTTTAATTAGTTCATTAAAGATAATCTTTTTCTCCTTACAAAAGGATAATTTACAATTAACCATCAGTGGTAAACAATTAAATTAGCAAATTGAAATTCCAGCCGGTAAAAAGTTCACAAAACAATCAATAGATGGCAGCATGAGTTCTCAGCGTTTGATTCTACATAAGTAGTGACACCTCTTGGGAAAAAATAGCAACTCATAAGTTAAGTTTTTCTCATTCGTTTTAATTTAGTTCCCAGTTGATTAATTACTTTAATTGGTTTAATTTTAACAATCAGACAAACGGAAGTGGAAGATGTAGTTATCAGTAAATGTGATTGTTGAAGGTATTGGAAAAAATGGTTTCTAACCTTGGAGTTGATTGTGGTTTGGATTGAAGAAAATTAAAAAGTTAATTCAGTAATTAACTCTTAATTTAACCTTGATTTTCCTTCCGATGATTTAATTTTGATTTCTCTCTTTACTGTTTCTCGCTAATTAATTAAGTGTTATACCAAATTTAATAAACAATTAATTTCCTCCTTCTAAAAATGAAGAAACAACAAAAAAGTTTCAACAATCAGACAACAATTAAGAATAAAAAAATAATTCTTAATTTTCCAGGTCATGGCGAATTAGTTAATCATAATGATTAACTTTGATGATGATCATTATTAAATGATAATTTATTATCAATCTTGACACAAATTGTTGTTCAGCTTGTTGATTAAATCACTTGAGGCAAATTTTTTATCATCCACCAATTAGTTAATTTGAATATTGATGAGAATTAATAACCTTTAAAGAATCAAAATTGAATCAATTTAAAAATAATTAGAAAAAGAAAGAAATTTAAATTAAGCCAACAATTAACAAGATGATTATATCAACTGTCAATCTTAACTGTCTACAAATTGTGATTGAGATAATTAAATTATAACTGACAGATTAACATTGGAAACAGGATATTGACCAATGATTAGTTAATTTTCAATCTTAATTCCTAAATCAAAATCAAGATCAACAAAGTGAAATAATTAAACTTTTATTTTTTACTTTTTCTATTACAATTAAAAACTTTTGCGAATCCAATTCAATCAAATCAAAATCAATTAAATTACAAGTTATCGATGATAACAAGATGATAATTATATATGCATCATGTTTAAATCATGATTTAATTATTAATCATGGTGAAAACTTATCCAGGTAAAAGTATAATTATCTTTTATTGTCAGTTAATTGAATGTTAATTGAGTTATAATTAACTCTTATTGATCAAATAACATTTTCTGACAGATAACTGTAAAAATGATCTATTGTAAACTAAATCATATCATCCTCATCCTTGTCATCTTCATCATCACCATCATCCTGGCATAATATTAATAATAATAATAATAATGATATTAATCCTTGCTAATAATTTGCTTACCTGTTGATTAAATTGTTACCTTTGGATATTGTAACAAATCAGAAGGTTTTTCATCTTAATTAGATGAGGAAGAGATGAAGATGATGAGGGATAAAAACCGATTTTCTTTCATCTTTTCTTCATCCTACTTAAAATTCCGATCACCATGGTAACTCAGGCTCAGCATGAGAATATTTGTTAATTCAGAGAGATAGAGAGAGAGAGAGAGAGAGAGAGAGAGAGAAGAAATGAAAGGGTTATCATCATAATCATCATCATAATCTTTAGCATCCTCATCATTTCGAGTTTTGTTTTTGGGTCTGACTCTCGATCTTCATCAATTTAATCACTTTTTTTTTTAATAAGATGTTATTATTTACTATCAAATGTGAGCATTTAAAAAGAGAAGTGGATAAATGCTATATTTGATGCATGAAGATTAGGATTAGGATGAGAAGAGGCATAAGGATAAAGGGACCAAGGGAAGTAAACAAATAACATAAATAACGCATTTAAATAACCAAAGTTTAATCGGATTAGTGGGAAGCATTCCAATTGCATTAAAAGCAATATAAGATGAGGAAGATGAGAAAATGAACGATAAACGATTCTTATTTGGACCTAAGCCAATTACTCATTTTCGAGTCTCAAACGCGAAACTCAATTTCAAAGAATATAAATAATTAACAGAAAATTCATCAACTGATCAGTTATCAAAAGTTTTAAACAATCAAAGAAAATGGTGCTTTTTATTAGTGATAATCCAGATTCTTGTGATCAAGTTTACCTGAGAGATTGAGAAAAAGTTTTTTTTCACTTGAATTTGAATTAATTTGTGATCTCAAGAGATCCTTTGGGTGATGATGATGATGATGATGAAAGACCATCATTGATCATCATCATCATGACAAACAGATGATGATGATTTAATGTCTATTCTTATTCTGATTAAGTCTTACCATGTTCGCCTTTTCTTCTGACATTACAACCTGATCTTTTCTTTTAAGATGCTGATTCTTCATGATCATCATGATGAGTAAGATTTTGCCTTTGAATTTCAGGCAAAGAGAGAGAGAAGGAGAGAGAGTAAACGATATCTTCTATTTCTTTATCATCGTCATTCTCATCTTATGAATTTCTAATTGTTGGAAATCCTCCAGAATGACAAGCTCATTCTCTCAACATCCTATTGACAAAAAAAATCCGTAAAAATGATCTCTTTCTTTTGAGATTTACTGGTGATGATGATGAAATTTTTAAAGAAAAATAAGAGGAGGATGATAATGAGAGAGAGAGAGAGAGAGAGAGAGAGAGAGAGAGAGAGAGAGAGAGAGAGAGAGACCTTTGCGTTTTCTACAAAGTTAGAGAGATAATCAAAGTTTGGAAGAAAAAAGTTCTAATGTAAAATTTGATATGGAAAAGGTGATAAAAAAGACAATTATCATGTGATGTCAACATTAAAATTGTCACTTTATCCATTTAGTAATAATCATTTATCTTAATCCTTAATCTTGTTAATCTTTAAAATCTTTTTTGTTGATCGTTGCAATCAATTATCAAAGTTCAATTCTAACAGAAAAAAGTAAGAGTTGAACAAGAAAAACTAAACAAAAGCCAAAGAAATGAAAAGTTATCAATGAAATCCAATCCTTTCCAACGATAACAATCAACCCGAAGAAAATGTATTAATCCATAAATAGATAACATAATAACCTATTGTAATTAATATGATGATAATTTAATGAACGATATTAACAGATAATTAATTGTCTATCTTAATTGTCTACAGATATTATCCATGTTATTCACAAGATCTTATCTTGGCTTTGAGCTTTCCTGGTTCCAGGTAATATTCACCTATCCTTTTTGGCCATTTCGAGTTGCGATTACCTGGAATATATTACAATTAGCTCCTCTTTACATTGTATCAATTTACGGATTAATGAAGTTCCTGATGAGCCTTTGCACCTCTCGAGAAAAACCTTTATCAACACGATTACGAGATCTTTTCGCACCAGAGATAATCATCTATGAGCCCGATATTCCATCGTTTTTTCTTGACCCTTCTGGTCAACATTTCCGTCTTCCCTTGCAACACTCTAACCACCATCACCATCACCATGGTCACCCAGTTCATGGTCATTACCACCATCATTGTACCGAAGCACCACCCGACCCACCACCAAAATATTCACCACCGCCTTCATATTCATCGGCCACTGCGAAACCTTTAATGAAACAATTTCGTTCACGTTTCTCCTCAAATATTACCATTGACATCCCTTTCCTTAATAGTAATCATAATAACAACAACAATCAAGATTCAATTGCAACTGAATCAACTGTTAATAGTAATGAACAATCAGATCTGCAAGCAAAATGTTCAACAACAACAGTTAACAAACAATTAAGATCAAAATTATCATCTAAAAGTTGAAACTTTTTGGGGAAAAAAGTTTAAAATTTCAATCTATTTTTTAGTAATTGAATTATTGTTTCAAACAGAACAACTAATTGTCATTAATTAACCAATTTCATCATGTAATTGTCATCAAATTGCCAATCATCTAGTCTTTATATTTACATGAGAGAGCAACGAGAAAAACAAAACAAATCTATTCTAAATAAAGTCGAAATTAATTTTAAAATTTTTTATTTACAATTCTAATATAATACAATTGTTACAATTCTGATAGCAAAATGTTACAAACCGATTAATCAATCATATTGAATGATATGAATGCTTATCAAATTAACGTAATATAATGTAATTAATAAATATAATTAGATTAGTTGAAAAGTTAAAAGGAAGACAAAAAAACACTTTAAAGTCACGTGACGTTAATTCTGGGCTCGGATGCTTAAAATAACGTCGTTGGAAAAGTTTTGCCTTCTTCACGTCGACGTGTTTAGAGTTCGAGAAGTTAAAGAAACAGAGATTCGAAGAGGCTACTTGAGGAAGATCCAAGAAAGAGGAAGAAAAAAGAAAAGATCATCATCATCCTTATCATCTTTCTCTCTCTCTATCTTTCTTTCTTTCTCATCTTTCTCATCTTCATCTTCATCCTCATTCATCTCTATGTATGTGTTTCCACTCTTACAAGTTGTTCCAATTATTGTAGTTACTAGAAATTCACTTTATCCTCCATAATTTTTGATTCTCTTTCTTTTTCCTCTTTCTTTCCTTTATCTTCCTCATCTTCTTCTTGTACCGTTATCTATTATACCAATAAGACAAGAAGAAGAGAGAAAATAATATCAAAAATTGAGCTGTTTTAAGTACTTTTTTTACACAATTAATTTGATTGATTGTTTCATCGATTGAGTTAATTTAGTTACGTTTGTGTGTTTGTTTTTGTTTCACTTTTATCGTTTTGTGTGTTTGTTTTTGTTATATCATTTTAAATTATCATCATTTACTTAATTCACCACCAACATCATCACCACAATTATCATCATAATCCTTGATCAACTTGAATCTAGTTAATTATTTTTCACCTCACTAAGGGTTATTTAAGTTAATTAAATCCTCGTTACCAAACAAAAACAATGATTACAACAATTAATTGGGTTGATAATCATTTGGATTGCTAATCAAACCTTATATTACATATATTTACAAGGTCAATCAAAGGATATCATGTGATCAAATCATCGCTAATTGTGATAAATTAAACATTAATCAAACTGGTCAACAATCAATTAAATTTAATTCAACACCAAACTAATTAACCTTCTGTGATCTTCAACAAAACAATCAAATCAAAACTGAATTAGATTATTTTTCAAATATAAACAAAACAAAAAGAGACAAGGTAACAATTAATGAGGAGAAAACAATGTTACCTAATAACACTTTTCATTTGGAATTAATCAGCAATTAGTGATTAACGATTTTCGATCAACAATTGGATTAAAACAATTTAGAATTGTAATAAACAAAACAAACTCTTTTTTTTCGCCTTTTCAACGTAAACCAAAATACTCAAGTAAATATTATCATGTCTTCCACTTTAATCGCAAAAAAGGAAAGTTTAATTCATAAGATTCGAGAAATTGACCTCGAACGAATCGTGATCGAAGATGAATACGATGTGGTCAAGGAAATCGGTTCAGGTGATTACGGTAAAGTTTGTTTAGCTATCCATAAAAAGACAGGTACACAAGTAAGTTGACCATCACTCTCATCTATCATGTTAATCCTTACCGACTAATCCTCACTCCTGAATAACGGTAAACCATAATCTTAATCCGTATCCCTTTTGATAATGTCCGGTTGCAATTGGATTATAATATAATTTATCAACCAAAGAAGAGCAAGAAAACAAAATCTTTTTTTTTCAAACTATTAATACAAAAACAAATTAATATAACCAAATCAAGGAGCTTGTTAATCATGATTATCGTTGAGTTGATTGTAACTAAATAGTTAACCACAGTTAATCAAACTGTTGGTGGTTTGCATTTTAATTATTATTATGTTGATTGTTGTCCGAAAATTAAAAGAAACTGATTATTGTCTAATCTTAATCTCTTTTTATTATAATTAATTTGCTTACGGTTATGTGTCAACAAGAATAATTCATTTTGACTGTTGATAGATTTTCAAGTTTCACCCTGAAGGCTTTACAATCATGATAATCATCATTATCCACATCATGATACTAATAATAATGAATAGCCATGAGAATATGTTATTATAAAAATTAACATGATTAAGATAATGTTTATCTTAATAACAATCTTAATCTTGATTATTGATGAAAGGTTTGGTTTTTAATCATGATAATATAATATTAACACCGTTGAATTAAATTTACCTTAGGTTAACCCCTTTGCGTTAATCAACCGGGCTCATACAGTAATTATAAACATGAATGGATGTAAATTAATTAACACAATCAACAAATTATTAAAACAATTAATCTGCAAGACAAGTTAACTTAATTGTCTTTTTTTTTCTTCTTATTTAGTTCTGATAATGTTCAGTATTAGTACTTTTTTTGCCCGAAAAATTCAAGATGATTATAGATGCCAAGCCCTTCGTTCAAATCTGTCAATCAGAGTTGAACTTTTTTTTTCATGGCTTAAAGGCTCAGGTACATAAAGTATTATAATGATAATAATGAGGATGAAGATGAAGATGATGATATAATAATGTTGCAGATACAACAAAAATTAAGGTTAAGAAGTGATATCAATGCGAATGCTAAGATTTCCGGTTTCTTATTCTTGAAATTTTTGCTCTCAATTCAGAATTCACCTAGCAAATCATATAAATACAACAAATATATATATACATGAGTCAATATTATGGAATCAATTTTCCTCATTTGATTGAATAACAATCAATATAATTTAATAATCAAGTGCTAGCAATCAAATAATAGGATAATTATAATCAGTTAATAATAGTGTCTGATGTAACAGTTTGAAGGTAGCACAGTTTTCAAGTTGAACCCTGTAAAAGTATTTGCAAATATCGTTCTGATAACTGTATCAATACTTGCTCATCCTCATCATCTTCATCACCATCACCGGCATCAAAAATCATGATATCATCTCATTGTTATTCAATATCAATTACATTTAATGATAACTTTTCAATCGGATGATATATATATATAAGAACTTATTTTCTTGCCCTTCTCTTCATCACAATGAGATGCAAATTCAATTGAAAAACTGAGTTATTCTTACGACAAAAGTTGATAGTAAATGAAATGATCTACTAATCCATCACAACGGAAAATGCAAAGATTCTTGATCCACCTCCGTTCTCATAATACCTCCACCATTTTATCATCTTCTCCTCATCATCATCATCATCACCATCATTATCATCATCATCTTCTTCTTCTTCTCATCCTCAGGTTGCTGTTAAAGCCGTACCCAAGGCGACAACAAGTTTACGAGATTTTCTAATAGAGTTCCATTATAGTTACTTCCTATCTCCTCATCCTGTTATTTTGGATACTTATGATGTTGCCTTTGAAACAACTGAACATTTCTGTTTTGCCCAAGAAGTTGCCCCTTTAGGTGACCTTTGGCAGGTAATTAAAAATCATTAACTATTAAGGTGTTAATCAGCATCACAATTATAATCAACTCTTTTCCAATCAACTCATCAAGGTGTCTTTGCACCCATTGGATGTTTTTTTTTTACTTGTTTTCTTATACAATTTCTTATATATATTATGATTAACAACGAGTTGTAATTAAGGTTCATTCATGATAAGATTGATGATTTAATTGCATTTCCTTTTACTTTATTCCCCTTTACTTTACTTGCTAATTTTTACTCTGATTATCATTATTGTTTACTTTTTCAATTGCAATTTAGTTAAACAATTAAACTTGCAATCAGGTTGATGCAATTGTATATTAAAAGTTTCCAATTGCAATTGATCATTTATTTAGTTTTATTTAGTTTTAATTGTAATTGATTTAATAGAATTGGTTAATAAGTAAGATACTCATTACACTTTAATTTGTAGGGTGATTTTTGAATTTTTAATCAATTACAATTAACTTTTTACCATTATTATTATTATTATGAAATTAACAATAACCTTAATTGCTAATAACATAACGGTAATATGAATGATAATCTTAAATCAATTTAATCAGTGAATTGATTGTTTTAAATTGTTGTTCATTTTGTTGTTTTATTAATTATGTATAAATGTTGATTACTTTGTGATCACCCTGATTATTGTTTATTGATTGTGATCACGATTAAATCAATAATGATAATGATAATCGTTAATGTTGATAGATTGAGTTAATTGTCCAATAATAATAATGAAATGATTATCAAATTGATTATCTTAATCATCATTATCATCTTAATATCATATTCATTCAAGTTTAATCATTAATTTAATAGAGTTAATTGAAAAAAAAATTGATCCAACTTCATATGAACTAAATATAACCTCAAGGTAAATTAAATTTAATCATTAATCTTAAAATTGATTACAACAATTTTAATCATCATTAGAATTATAAAAAAAAACTTCAATGATTATCATTGTTTTTATATAATAATATTAATGATTCTGATGATGATTAGATTCAGTTGATTATCATCTTGATGACAAGCTAATTGTTTACCCTGATCTTAATCAGTGAAACAATTAAGAGATTCAGTCAATTTCCTAGTTAGCTAATTGTAACTTTCTAATGACAATCAATCCAATGGATTTAAAGTTAATTGAAAGACTAGAAACAAACAATAATCAATTAAACTAATTTCTCAATATCAAATTGGTCAGTTAATTAAAACTTAAAATCAATTTGCGTTAATCAACCAAGTTGATTAACTGAAGAAACTAAAAAAAAAATCTCGTTAATTGTTACATCGAATCAAATGTAAATCAATTTAGATAATCAGTTACGGATCAAGTTAAATTGTTAATCATAGAATTGAAATCAGATAATTAATGTTAACTCAACAATTAACTATTAATATATAGCCAAAAGGTGTGATTAATAGTAATTGGCAATTTAGATTAAATCAGTAATAATAATTTAATCATCCTGTTAATCAATATAACCGATTAAGATTATCTTATTGTGAGAGTTAATTTATCTTAATCAAATTAAAAATCTAGGCCAATGAGACCAATTAAATTAACTTATGTCAACAGGAGTAAATTTAATCAACAAAATTAACTAAATTAAAAGCTAATCAAATGATAAGAAATGAAATTTATTTTCATGGTTAACATGAGAATCTTAATGAATGGTTTAAGTTTTGTATCAAATTTTTAATTGATTTTTAGGTAATTAACTCTAATGATTATCTGTTTCTATTTAACTAACGATTAACAATCAAGGCAGTGGAACGTACAAATGGAGCTGGATTAGAGGAACAGGATACAAAGATTATCATCGAACAGATTAGTTCAGCGTTAGAGTTTTTACACGATAAACAATTGGTCCATCGGGATGTTCGGGCTGAGAATATATTAATCTTTTCCGTCGATTTTACCAAAGTCAAACTGACCGATTTTGGCCTCACCCGTCGAGCGGAAACACTGGTCAAAAAGCGGACGCGATCACTGCCCACTTGTCCCCCTGAGATTTGGGAGGCTGTTCATTTGGAAGGTAAAGGCTCATGTATAATTCAGATGAATGAGCGAGAGAGAGAGAGAGAGAGAAAACCAATTTCGAATTCGTAGAATTCAAATTGAACATTAACTTTGAGTTCGAGAGGGGAAAATAAGATGAACTCATTTCTGAGAATTTATTTCCATTTTCAATTATGATCGATGATCACAATTAGCTTTTATAATCAGTTTTGAGAGACAAAAATCAAATTGATATTCATCAAACATAATTAGTAATCAGATGATCAATAATGATGATGATTTAATTGACAGATTAGTTAATCAATTGTCTGTGATTATCATTGAGAGATAATTATAAACTTTTTTCAAGGTTGGGGTAACCTTAGGTTTTTTGTGTTCAACACTCGTGACATTATCAATATTATAGTGATTAACTAATCATGATTAGTGATGTTGTTTAAAGTTTCCTTTATTTTGGATAAATTAATTGCCAGGATTAAGGATTATATTGTCAATTGAGATTAGATATTCACTGTAATGATTAGTGGTGATGATGAATGTCAACAGATTTGAATGTTTACCTTTCGTTTTGGTTTTTAATTGTTTCCATTTTACTTAATTGTAAAGGTTATAATGTTGAATTGGGTTCTGATGTATGGCAATTGGCTATGTTAATATTTGCTTGTTTAACGACGCGGTTTCCATGGGAACGTGCTGATATAACTGATCCTCGATTTAGCGAATATGTGGAATGGCAGAAAAGGAAAACAACTCGAACTCCCAGAGAATTTCGTCGATTTACACCAAGATTATTACGATGTTTTAAACGAATGATGGAAATCAAACCTTCTAAACGTTATCCAGTTATCGAAGTTCGTAAATATTATAAAGATCGTTGGATACTCCAAAGAGGCCCAAGAGCCTCGTCAATAGCGAAACTTAATCCAAGTCATGAAAGGGTAATAATAAAGACAATCGGTTTAGTTAATATTTTCCATTCTAAAATTTCAATTGTTTCTCTTTTTCTTACAACTGAATCTTTGGATTCTATTTCAGGGCGATCATCATGTCAATTCTGGTGTCGGTGTGTCCCAAAGTCTATCATGTAGTCAACTGATGCCAACTCAGGCTCGATTCCAGGAATGGATTAACTCTGGAGGTCCCAGACAATCAAATGATGATAATCATGAAGTTGAAAGGCGATATCTTTTATCTAATCAATGAAAATGAAAACTGAAACAATCAAAAGTGTGAAAATTAAAAATTGTTACCAATTAAATCAATTATGATAAATTAACTTCCAAATCAATCAAAACAACAGTAACTCTCATTAAAAACAAAGCAAATGGGTAGACAATCAACATGGAGAGAGAGAGAGAGAGATAGAAATTCACAAAACTCGAACTAAGAACTTTTTATTCTGAGAGAAAAAAAAATCAACAACAATCAATCAAATTAAGAGAGGAAAAAATTGATTGTTAATTGTAATCAATAATTAATGGAGTGAAATTGCTGTGAGAACAACAAATTACCAAAAATCTTTCTAAATTTTGGTTGTTCTCGTAACAAATTCTGATACTCAGACAATCAGTTAATCAATGAAACAACAAGCAAAACTAGAAATCAGTTAATTGCTAACAATCAACCAATTGATTTATCGAGCTACTCAATTAGTGATCAAATTTTTGTTTCACTCATAATACTTAATATAATTTATCGGCATATCCATTTGCATTTGTAACATTGAGACGGTAACAATTTAACCCTTGAAAACCATTTATCATGAAGCTTATTCATAACAATTAATATAATCATGATGATGATAATCATCATCAAACAGTAATGATAAATGATTATGTAAATAATAATATACTTACCTGAGTAGTTTCAACAAATGAGACAAGAAAAAAAAACTCAATCATTCATTTAAATAGGTAAACAAAAATACACTGAAATTTATTGTTATTTACTTTACATTTAAATGCTATGAAACATTTCGTGATCAAACTAACAGTCATTAAAAAAATATCAATAATAATCATAGATTTTAATAGTTTTCAACAGAGGATAATATGAGTATATGGTTTCAATGATAATAATAATTTACGATTAGAGTATGAGTAACATTTTCATGGTAAATCCACCGGTGGTAATTAAGTTAATTTAGTTCACTTAATCTTTAAGATATTTGGATATTATTATGATAAAATCAATATAATCCTTTGTGGGTTAACTTGTTGATGAAAATTTTACTTGGTTTACCGTTTGAATGATATTTCAATGGGAGATAAATGAAATTGGATGAGGATGGTTTCTTCAGGTGAGTTGGCTTTTTAGACTTGGTGTTAATCAGGTTACCCTGAGCTCCATGATGTTTGGTGAAACCTGAGTAATAAGTGATGAATGGAAAGCAAGAAGAGAAAGAAAAAAAAAGTCATTAGAATAATTATTATCATTTATGGAGAGAGAGAGAGAGAGAGAAAAAGTTCTGATGGTAACATATTATTCTGAATAGTTGATGAAATTATCGCTTCAGGGTAAATATCTATACGAAGATGGTTAACAAGAAGATGATATTAATAGGTGCTGATGAAGATCGGAATGAAAAAGGATGAGGATGATTAATAAAAAGAATATGAATTCTCATATATATTTATATTAATTTCAAGGTTACTGGTTAGAAGAACTGAAAATCTGATCAATTGTTTCAACCATCATGATGATAATTACGCTTGAGGGGATTTTCTTGTTTTAGAATTTTGTTGTTATCTTTTGTTGTTTTCTGTTGCAAGTTGCAAACAGAATTTCAGAAAATTGAATCAAACAGAAAAATTAATAATAATAACACCCATGAAGATATAATATAACTACTCATTTATAAAGATAATCATGTTAATTGTAATTAGTTGAGCAAATATTAGTTGTTATTAAATTTTCAGCTCTCAACTTTTATATACACTCATGGTAACTTTGTTATTCATTTGAAACATGATGATGTTCATCATGATGAATATACAGCACACCCATATTATTGAAGGATATATTGTATATTTAAATTGATTAACATCATCATGATAATTACCCGAAGGTAAGAAAAGTTAATTACAATCAACCCTTTGTTATATTAATTTCATATTAACTAATTTTCTCTTGTTATTTTGTTATTTTTTTTTTATTCTCGTTCTTTTTTGTTTATAATTTTCAATCTTGATGATAATTTATTTAATTGAATTGATAAATAGTTTAATCATCTTAATGATAATAATTATGGTAATTGAAACAGTATTATTACTGTTTAATTGCAATTATTTATCGGGAAAGAAAAGGGTAAACAAAATATTAAATATAAGGTTAACGGTAAATTGTTTGGCTAATTTGAAAACTTTGGTTTGATTGTTAAAGTAAATTAGTTTATTGTTGATTATCATATAATTATTACCACAATTACCTGAGTTAATCATGATGATGATGATGATGATGATAATCATTTATCTTTGCTGATTAAGAGTAAAATATGTGAAAATTGGGAAAAGGGTTGCAAATGATGAGGATGATTAAGGTTGATGAACATTATTAATCAAAGGGGAAACTTGAACATGGAGAGATAACTGAGAAAAAAAATCAATAACATGGGGAAAAGTTCAATAGATTTTTGTTTATCTGATTCTAATTCTGATGATGGAAAAATGATGATTATCTTCATCATTTGTTATCCTTTATGTTTTATTTTCCCTCTGATGAGGTTAATTTATCCTTAGAGAAGAGGATGAAGTAAAAAAAAAGGAACTTAAATTGATACGAAAAAGTTTATTTTCTTATTTTTTTTTCATCTTCCTTTCTCTCCTACAGCTTCTGTCCTCATCATCATCATCATCATCATGAGTAGAATGATGATGATTTAAATTATCATGCAATTGTGAATAGATATCCTAAGTATCATCAATTCAGGAGGAAAAGGGTTATTAGTTAGTGATTTTAAAATGATCATCATAATAGGTACTCGCTTTTAATTCAGTTGCATGATAATCACCCGCCGGGCAAATTGAATGGTAGTTACATGTAATTTATAAATTAGTTGAATTTTAAAAAGTACCAAGGAGAGAGGAGGGTTTGAGAGAGAGAGAGAGAGAGAGAGAGAGAGAGAGTAGGGATAATGAGAGAGGGTTTTAATACTCATCACCAGGAATCAATTCTGACAAATTAACTTGTTGACAGTAAATAGTAAGGTATCAACATCCGTCAACAATCAACAAGTTAGTAAATTGTTGATTGTAATTAGTGACTTTTTTTTATCACCTGAATTATACTTTTGCTCTGTAACTAAATTACTTTGCAATTAATACTTTTTGACATTGAATTTAAATCAGTGTTAAAAAAAACAGAATCTTTAATCACTATTTTGATTAATCAAATCAATGAGAAAGAGCCTCTGACATTCAACTTATATTATATCTGTTAATTGTTATCATAAAAATGAAATAAAACTTGAAGGACAACGATTTAAAGCCGAGCCTAGAAAACATACTAATTAGAGTTAATTAATTTAGATGAATTAACGTAAACACCTTGGATTAATTATCTCGCAAGTGAAACAATTAATAGATGGCAGCATTTAATTGTATTCATTTGAAAGTGAATCAATCAATATTATCAATGAGTTTTATTGATTTTGTCCATTGTTCAATTATCATTATTATCTCATCTTAACTTTTGACCCTATTGAGATTTCACTTTCACCTTAATCATCAAGTAAGTTTAGTATCTTTTTCATTTATCTAATCCTAATTAATTGTGATTAGTTTTAACAAAATTAAGACACTTGATGATACATTAATCAGGTAGATTAATTTAAATCAATCAAGGTAATCAAGTTCATTAGCCTTTACTTTTACCACGATCAATAAACTGTTGAAACTTTACAGAAACAACAAAAAAGTTTCTGTTTAATTGTGTTGAGGTTTTTGATTTAATTGTTGATCAAAACAACAAGAGCAAAAATTTTCATTTCAATTTTAACCATCATCAAGTTAATCGGATGAACAATCAAATAGATCAACAATTTAGCCTAATCAACTGATTATCAGATTAACCGTGAAAATGATATATATCATCAAATCACAGACAATTTATCAACAATCACAATTTAAACACTTTCGTTACACTAATAGTGATTAAGAAATTTTTTTTTCTTCTTGATTATTGACAAGCAATTGATCAGAAAGTATAACCAACCATTAAACGTTTCATATAATCCTCATATTGTAGACAGGTTGATTACTTAATTGTGATTAAATTATCCTGACAATTAACAGTAATGAGAGATAAATGCTAAAGGTAAAAACCTCTTACCTGTAATTATATCAATTGGTTTAGCATTGGAAATAAATTTCAACGGAAGTTTATAAATTGTTGAGCTCAACAGATTAGTCGGATTATTTATTTTATCCATTGATTGGTAGTAGGTTTTTCTTGGTGGCGATTGAGATGATTGGATTAGCACTTTATTATTACTTTTATTGTCATGATTATCCACCACCAGTGGTTTATTGAATAGTATTGATGATAAAGATGAGGCTAGTGATGCGGCAGCGGAAGATGCTACTGCTGAAGCGGATGCAGATGAAGATGAGGATAAAACTGAAGACACAAAGGGTTTCGGCTTAGCGAGTCGGGTCGTTATGAAAAAAATTGGCGATTCCTTCAAGGGTTTGGTTTTTTTCATGGGCACCGACGACGAAGACGACGACGATGATGATGATGATATGAACGATTTAGATTGTGGTGATTGTTTGAATAAGATTAACGGACGTGCAGAGGTAAATGTAATCAATAAGTTGATTGCAACAATTAAATGTATCAAGTTGTAAGGATGATGATTGTTACGTTGATAGTTGAGTAAATTCATTATCATGTTTACTATTTTTATATTTTACTCTTTATTTCAGCTCGAAAGAAACAGAATTGTAAAATTATAAGATGAAAATATCATCTGAATGGACACTGATGATGAAATTTTCAGTTTACTGATGAAGATGGATGAAGATAATGAGGAGATCATGAAGATGATCAGAAAGAAATAAACACTTCTCAAAGTTTACTGGAGAGTGAGAACTCAATACAATATGAATGATGGTGAAAGAGAACGGGAAAAGATAACAAGAAGATGATGGAGATGTTGATGATGATGATGATGATGATGATAAAGATGAGGATGAAGATGAAGATGAAGATGAAGATGAGAAAATGAAACCTTAAGTAGCCGTTAAAATGAAAACCTCCTTAATCATTTTTTTTTCTTTCCTTCGACTGTAGATGGCGCAGCGAAACTTGAATTCTCTAAATAATTTAGTTAATTTTTTTCTCTAATCATGTTGATTAAACAGTTAATTCTGATCTAATTTGGTAATACAATCAAACTGATTTAACTTTTTAATCAATTTCCAGATTCTTTCAATTGGTTTTTCACTGTCTGGCTAATCAAATATCTTCCCTTAACAATTTAAATTGCTTTTATTGTCATTAAATTGTTTCAATTAGATTAGTGATTAAAATCAAAGTCGATAAATAAATTGTGATGGATTTGTAGATGATGATTAGATTAGATTGTTAATTTCAACGTTAATTAGTTGATCGTTTTGATTTTTTTTCTTCACTTCTTCCTCTCGTTAATTATTTTCTTGATTCAGTTGGCTGATTTTTTGATTAAAGTTAATTATTTATAATCAAATATTTTCATCACATAATTGATTTGATTTAATCGGCAAGTTTAATATGATAATCACGTTAATTAATGTAAATTAATTACTGTGGTCAACAAAACTCAACTAAATCTATCAAAATCGTGGCACAAACTGTACCTATTAATAAACTAATTGAAATTTAGTTAAATTGTTACAGTTTATTCAGCTTTTTATTAATAAATTGTTTTAAACAAACAATTTCAATGAAAATTGAAATAATCATAAGACAAAAACAGTTGAAAAAATGGCTTGATTGTTGTTGCTCATTTGATGACAATTAATGATTTGAATACAATTAATGTTATCGAGAAGGAAGTTATTGATTAATCATAATGATGTATGGGAGACAATTAGTTTACCTTGATTATAATCATAATGAAAAGTTGAAGATTATCGTGAATCAAGAAGTAATTAAGTTACATTAATAGCAACAATTTAGTCTAACATTTGAATTTAGTTTGTTTATCAACTAATCATATTATTCAGTTCGAGAACTTTATTTCTTTCAATAGTTATTCTGATATATTTGCTGGCGCACCTCCAATTGATCATCGTATTCAAACTGAGCGCATGTTTATCATCATTTACGATTGAAAACCTTTGATGATAAAATGAAGACAGAGAGAGAGAGAGAGAGAGAGAGAGAGAGAGAGAGAGAGAGAGAGAGAGAGAAACAAGATCATCAGAATCATCTCCATTTCTCATGATGATCAACAAAAATACAGGGTAGAATTCACGATTTCTACCTTAACTTTGACTCTTCGAGCATTCGTACTTGCTCTGTCTTCCTCTGTCTTTTCGAGTTTTCTCTTACTCACCTCCTCTTTCTATTTTATTACCTTTCTCTCTCTCTCTCTCTTTTCCTTTATCTTCCACCCTCTACCTCCCTCTTCTCATCTTCATGACTCCCTGAGTTTCTCTCTGAAATTCTTTCAATTCATTTTCTATTCTTTCCTGTTTTCCTTTTTTCTCTTCTCCTTCTTCCTTATGTGACAAAATTCAGCTCAATGGATTAAGATTATTCATCAACAATCATCATCCTTCATCTTCCTCATCCTCTTCATCATCATTTTAAATAATAACAACAACTCCATCATTCTCATCACTATCAACAAATCAACAAAAGTAAAAAATTGTAACAGTAACAACTTCAAATATCATTTCATCAACTCAGTGAATTAAAATGTTACACTGAACAAATTTGTCAACAAAAAAAATCTCAAAACCAAAACCACAACAACAACAACAACAATTAACTAACAGTGAACCCAATCAACAATTAACATTTGATTTATTGAAAAACAAAATAGTCAAACAATCAAAATCAATCAGTCCAAAATCAACAGGATGATACCAACACCATCATCAGAATCAATTAACTGATTAACAATAATTAATTATCACCAACTTTCAATGGTTCCCTTTAATTGATTGTATTATAAAAAAAAAGTCAAACAATTAAATCAAAATAAATTATCAAGAGTTAATCATAATCAACCTAAGAAAATTAGATTAAATCAATTGCATCTAAACTGATTGATTATTGAATATTTAAAAAACGAGGAAGATGAAAAAGTAAAAGATTAAGATTAAGAAATTGATTAATGATGATTAAGGCTTCCTAATCCAAGGTAAGATACTGACAAGACTAGAATTTTTTTTTCTATCACCTTAATCCTAATCCTCTTTATGTGTCATCATCCTGATTGAAATTGTCTCTTTGTTGTCTTGTTGATCATCTTTGTCATCCTCATCTTCACTTGCCTGTTAATCTCAACTTCTTGTTATCACATCACCTTGAAACTGAGTAACTATCATGAAAGAAAAGTAATACAATCAAATTGTATCTCGATTTCTTGATTGTTTCACCACCATCACGATCACAATCAATATGATGGTGAAATTTTTTCTCCCCTGAAAAACCAAACTGCTGATTCAAACTGATTCTGAACTTCTTGTCCTTTTACTCTGACAATTCAGCTTTTATTCATTTCGAGTTCTAATAATTCAAAGGTTGGAAGAAAAAAATTTCCTCTCATCGTTTAGAATCTCATATATATATTTTTCCATTTCTGAATTCAGAACTTTCATATTCAAGCAGCTGAATCATAATTCTTAATCCTGTTGACCAGTTCATTGATTTTCGACTTGATCATTATTAGTTTCAACTGAATTTCCTTTGCCACAATTAGATTCAATCTATTAACATTTCCCTTTATTGGCTAATAATCAGTAATTCATATTCATGAATCATATTGAATTATCATCTACTCTCAATTTAATTGTATTCATTTATTCATAACTTGTGATTCTGTCAATTACAGTTGATTTACTCAAACAACAATAATAGAATCACATTAATAATGATAATTAATTTAATTTAGTCATTGATTTACAATCTAATCCACTGTCGCCATCTATTGATTAGTAATTTTATTTTCTAATCAAAAATATTAGTTAATCAAGACAAACTTTTAATTGTTCCCTTAATTTATCAAATTAAACTAAATGGTAATAAGATACATATTGATTGTTTTAATGATCACGAGCTTGATCATAATCATTAACAATTAATGATTAGTTTTGGTATGAAAAAGCAAAACTGAATTGATATTATATTTTATTACTCTCAATTTAATGTTGATTGTTTAATCAATGATTTCAATATCTTTAGGGCTAATAGCAATTTAATTTGGACAATTAGGTGAATCAATTTGATTATGCAAATTGTTGGCATGCTAATTGTTGACTTGTGATCATGATTAGGATTTTTACCTTTTTTTCCCTATTCTTGGTTGATTTTGATTAGCTTTCGGTTATCATTTAGTTTGCCTGAGGCAAGGAAACGATCATGTTGTTGGTTATCAAGGTAAATATCAGAATCGTGATCAGTTAATAGTTAATCAATTGACAATTGAATTAAACACAATTCAAAAGGATTGGGATGACAAATTTGATATAAATTATTCATTTCAACTTTTCAGTTGATTGTTACAATTAATGGTAAGTTTGGGTTAATACATTGTTGTCAATGAAATAGAAAATTAGATTTAATTATTTAAATTATTATTCTCCAGGTAGAAATGTAAAGAGAGATAATTTTTCTCAGAATTTTATCATGAAAAATTCTGAATCTGGTGTATATTAATTGTGAATTAAATTGTTTGCACAATTAGAATCAATTAGTTCATATAAAAGGTAAAGAAGAAGAAAATTTTCTCTATTCTTATTCTAATTCATATTTTAATCTATTTTTTTCTCCTGAATTTTTGTCTGAACTTTTTTTCCTTCCACCATCATGATGATGGTGAAATTTTCTCATTTTTATATATTCATCTTTTTCTTTCCATGAAAATTATGTTACTAAATTCATTCATCTTCCTCCTATCTGATTGTCCATGATGATGAAATTACTCTATGGTAATAATAAGAATATGATTTATTCATTTGAAACTTTTTCCACCCTCCAAGTTGATGATAATAAGAATAGTAATAAGAAAATGTCATTGAAAATAAAAAGTACCTAAATGAATACCCTGATTAATACCCTGGTTATACTAATCGTCTTAATTTTAATGGACTGAACATTGTTCATGGAGATATAATAATGAATATGAACAATATACATGGAATATTATTGAACCAGATTTACCATGTTAGATATTTTCTGTTGCTCTCATTTTTTCTTGCTCTCTCTCTCTCTCTCTCTCTCTCTCTCTCTCACTCACTCATCTTCATTATCATCATCATTTTGACTCTCTCATTTTCTCTTTCCCCTTTTTTTACTCCCTTTCTCTTCCAACTCCCACTCATCTTCCTCCTTCTCATCATCTTTTCATCTTTCTCCCTTTGCTGATCGATTTTATCGTTTCTTAAGCAAAGAACAAGTAAAGACTTTTTATCACTCATGAACTCTCACTAGATTTGAGTGACAACCTTTTCTCATCATCATCATCTTCTCTCTCTCTCTCTATTCCTCTCTCCCTTTCTCTTGATTTCTCTCTTTTCACTATTTGCTCTCCTTATTGATTTTACAGGTAGAAAACCAGGTTTTCAGTTCTTCAGTCTAACTACTCGGTTCTTAGCCTTGTCATTATCATCATCATTATCATCATCTCCTTTCTTTTATCGTTTGTATCATCATCATCATCATCAACCAACCAACATACAGAAAGTGAGAGAGAGTGAGATAAAAAAAAAGTAACAACAAGAGACATTTTCTAAAAAAATCAAATGTAACATTGATTGTGAAAATTATTTTTCCGTTTCCTCATCTCTTGTTTATCTCTTGTGTTACCTGGATTTTTGTTATCGTTTCCATGCTGATGTTACTTATCTTCAATTTATCATCACTTGATTGTGATACTGTGAATATGATCAAAAGTTTGTCCTCATCCTCATCATTTATATGAAAAGGTTATCACATTGGATTCAATTGATGAGATGTTGTGATAACATTAGATGAAGAAGAGAGATGTGATTGTAAACAATATTTTCTGTTGAAATTTTTTCTCTCTCCCTCTCTCTCTCTCTCTGTCTTCATCTTCTTCATGATCTTCCTACCATCATCATCATCATCATCACCATCACTATCTGTCAGTGTCTCTACTACATGTGCCTAAGTATTATCAAAATGTTGATGATGATGTTATGTTGAAGTCCAGTCAAAAAAGGATGTTGTTAAAACAACAGCAACAACAAAGCCATTATCTTCATAATCATCATCATCATTATTATCATCATCACTTTTGTCATCATAAACCAGGAAACATTTACTTATTATCATCATCATCACTTGTTCATACTCACTCCTTGTTGGCCTACTCACCAAAGCCTTAAAGATACAAATTGCCTCTAATCAACTAATCAACTTTAATATAATATGACGTTACCTGTGAATTTATTACATCAATTAACACAAAATTTGACACTTAATTTTCATCATATTTGATATATCAAGAAAAAAATATCTCAGGTAAGTCTTTGTTTTCTCTGTGAACAGTCAAAGTGACCAAATGGTTGACCAGCTTATTTGTCAACAATATTTATCTTTGTTCATCTTGAATTTTCATGACTGGTCTTTATTTCCGTTTTCCGGGATTATCCTATTATCTTTTATTGAAAAGCCATCGCTGAGATATAAAGTTAAAGTGATCCAATGTTATTTGGTCGAATGCATTCCGAACCTGAACGGCCTGAGCCAACCTCTGGTTTCTGTTCATTGGAACCACCGGCTGATGCCACTTTATCACCGAGTTATCGTTCATGCCCTGAAATTGGTCCACAAATTACAATTCGATCATATGATGAAAATGATATTGAAGAGAAAGAACTTGCTCTTATTCGAGATCATTCCTGTTTAACTCAACGACGAAGGTCAAATGTAACCCCAAGTTCATGTTGGCGAACTCACAATGTCGCTAATGCAGCGGCAACATCATTCGGAGGTAAATATACTCTTATTAATTATATCAAACTATTAAAATCCTCTCTCACTTTATCACACCGATAAACCACCAACCATGAAAACCACTTTCACCACAAAATGAACAAAGTTTCACACAACACACACTCACTCACTTAAAGAATCCAATCAAGACTAATATTAACTGAATCGAAAATAATTCATGATTGAAATTCATTTATTGTTCCCATTAACTTCAATTAAGATGAAAATCGTAAGTCAGAGCAAATAATAATAGATATATGATAAAAGGATTTTCTTTCATCATCTTCCATCATATGGTTTATTGTTGATTCGGATAATCACAATCAGAATTATCATGAAAAAAGGGAAGCATCATATTAATACATTATTATCATTATTATTATTACCATTATCATGATGATTATTATATTTTTTTTTCTGCTCTGTGTTTCTTGTTCAGTGAAAACCATTTGCAATATTATTTGTATGTGAGAAAGTAAAAGATGGCGGAAGATGAAGGAGGAAAAAAAATAGGAAATGAAGATGATGAAGAAAAGGAAGATAACCACAGAGAATAGTAACAAGATGATCAGATGAAGATGATGAGGGATTAAGAGGATAAGGATGAAGATGAAGATAAGGGATGAAGAGAAAAACTTATGTTCTTTGGCCTGATTCCCAAAATAATAACAAGAATTGAGAAGATAAACGAAATGGATGAACGAGAGAGAGAATGAGAGAGTGATTGAGAGAGTGATTGAGAGAGAGAGAGAATGAGAGGGAGAGAGATAAAAAGTTCTAAATTAAATCGATAGTTATTTTTGGTTATTCAAACAATTTCCTCTTTCGCTTCGATAATATTTATATTCATTCATAATCCATAGATTCCAATCGTAAGTGAACTTTAAATGTTATCCACAGTTGATTTTATCTCCCCTGTTGTCAACAATTATAATTGAATTGATTGTGACACTCTAATTGTTTTTATTTATAATCGATAATGATCAACATTGTTCAGATGTGAAGACTTAAACACATGAGACAATTAACTTTGACATTAACCAATTTCATCTAATTGTTAATTTCACTTGATTTCAGTCAGATGTTTAATTGTTTGTTAGGTAAAAGTTTGAATTGAATTTGCCTCATGAAAGGTCAAAAACTTCAGGGGGTTTTGTTGATATTGTTCATTTCTGTTAAATGTATTTGTTGATTTTGTTGAGAAATTTCATTGAAAAAGAAAACCCCATTGATTGATTAGTGAACGAATTTTAATTTTATCATTATCTTGGAATTTACTATTATTATCAACTTATCATGAGAGAAAGTGTTTCAAATTTACTGAAAGAATCTAAAGTTACCTCGTTTTTTCATGATAAAATTTTCTGTCTAACCTGATAACTTTCATCCAATGTCAGTTTACAGATGAATAAATTCAGAACTTTGCTCATCATTTTCATCATCCTCATCTTATCTTATCTTCATCATGGGTCTTTAATTTTTACCCACCCAACTCATCATGATGAAAATGAGCTTATAAATGAATAAATAAATGTAATTTCAAAAATGTAACAAACGAACACCATAAATATGAAAGTAAGATGTTAGAGAAATCTCATCATCATCTGAATCAACATGGAATAGTAATGAGATATTGGAATTTACCTGAGAAATGAGAGAGAGAGATGAAGAAGAAAAAAATTTGATATTAGTTAAATTTGTAACTTTGGACGTTCGAAAAGTAATCGAAGATGTTGATGATGATGATGATGATAATGTGTTAACATGAAACTTTGTTCATGATGATGAAGATGATGAACATGAAATGAACTTCTTACTCTTTAATAATAATAATAATCCCAATGGAATGTAAAAACTCCCAGTAATAGGATCAAAAGTGAGGCATCATCTTTGGCCATCCCATGCGCGTTTGGGTCTCTCTCGACTTGATCATAGTTTCCTGACACGGACCATTTCTCGTGAGAGTGTGCGCCTATCAAGTCAGGCTTTAAACTGTTGTTGTGAGGCATCAACACCATTGTTTCACTGTTCCCATTCACAAGCAACTGTAACCTCACCAGTAACACAACAACAACAGCAAGCAACATCTTCCTTGTCCAGTCAATCTTATACAGGACATGGTGTTGGTTCTGGTGGTGGGACAGCAGGAACAACAACTTCAACAACAGTTAATAGTGGTTCATTTGGTGCTGGTGGTTTTAGTGTTAGTGGTGGTGGTGGTGGTGGTGTTAATAGTTGCTGTGGTAATAGTAATCATCATAATTGTTCAGCCTCTTGTTCAAATTATCTTCTTCTTGGCTCAGGGACAACAGGAGGAGGTTCTTGCATTGGTACAACTCCTCCTTACCACCACCTTGGTGGTGGAACTGTTAACCCTCTTTATGGTACCTACACTGGCCATGGTTCCCTTACTTCTGCTGGTGGTGTTGGTTCAACTGGGACAACAACTTGTACCTTTAATCCAGCAACACGAACCTCACTTACCGGTATTCAGCCTACAGTTTATCGGATGGTTGATAACGAGATTGCCGAAATTGCAGCCGATTCACTTCGGGTTAACGGAGCATTTCGAGGTTTCCGAAATTTACGTAAACCAGTTACTTCGTCAACTCTTTCCATTCCAACGGCTATGAAACACTTTGCCCACTCTCATTCTCATTCAACACCACAACCACAACAATCTTCCCACCAGCAGTCATCACAACAACAACAATTACAACACTTACCAATTCATCATTCTCATGGTTATCACTCACATTCTCATCACAGGACCAGTGTGGTTGATGGATTGAGTGGTGTTGATCCATCAACCGGTGTAGTGTCTGATCTGATTGCTGGAACACTAAGTGTCACAGGGAAAGATGGACTCTTAGGTATTTCAACTGAAAATCCAATTCCAGGACCAGTTACCGGTCAAAGGTCATTTGCCTCTAATTCTGTTGATAGTGACAAAAAGCGACACAATCCAAGTATAACTGGAGGTGTGGCGGGTGGAGGAGGTACAGGGGGTCCTGGAAGTATCGGTGTAGGTCCAGGAGGTGGAGGACCAACCGGATTCCATCGGCCAAATGTGGGCTATCGATTAGGACGTAGAAAAGCGTTATTCGAGAAACGCAAACGAATTAGTGATTATGCTCTTGTTATGGCTCTTTTTGGTATAATTATCATGGTTATCGAAAATGAACTTTCATCTGCCCTCGTATACACCAAGGTAAGTGAACAATTTCACATTAAATTTGCTTCTGTCTAATTGAATTAATTTACGATAAACTTCAAATCAAATCAGTTTGATTGATTATCTGAGATTTCACGTTTTCGCTTCTTCATAATTCATAATCTATCATAATCTTTATATAAATAAAATTCATCATGAAAGAATTGACAAAGAAATGGTCCACCCTTTTCAGGAAATTCTTAAGCAATGATTACTATTCCAGAACTTTAATGAAAACTCATTATCAATTGAATTGATATATGAAAACTATGAGAGAACTTGAAAACTTTTCTAATATAATACAAGTCTAATTACAATAACATTGAACTAGGAATTGTTTTTATATTATTATTTTGGTTCATTTCTAATGAAAGTTATCATGATTAACTTTCTCTTGAATGACAATTTTAATTTTAATTTGCAATTAACTTAAACAAACCTTCTGATTGTTAGATTTGTTTGATTATCAACTTGTTAGTTATATGTAAATGTATTTGAAAATGAAAAACACAATCAAAGTTAAATGTCAAAGTAATTTAAAAAACTACAATAAACTAATTCTCAATTCAGATTAAGTATACAAAATATAAACTTTAACCATGTTACCTGAAGATAAATACTATTAATAGAGTTGAATCTTATTCAAATACACTCACACACACACACACACATAATATCTAATGAATTAATTTCATTTACATGATGATGTACCTGAGAGTTTACAATGAACTGGAACAGAATAAGATTTGCATGAATGAATTTCAAATGAAATTGGCAAAAATAAGATGAACAGGACAAAGAAAAGACAAAGACAAAGGCGTAACCATTATCAATAAGTCACCATTGAATTTTTTACACTTAAATCAATAGATTGATGATTAACAATAATCATCATGATGATGATCGTAACAATCATAAGTTATAATAATAATAATGATTTAGGTGGATTAACATGAAGATGATGATGATGAAGCTAATCAGTTACAACACACTGAGCAATTGAATTAAAACTTTGATACAGATAAGTGTTTATAATACAATTTGCAGATTGCAAATTGCAATTAGTAAATTGTTTGCAACATTACATCTCAATGGTTGATTCCTTGTAACTCTTTCCTTTTTTCATGATTAACTTTCATTCATCAATTATTTATCTCTCTCTCTCTCTCTTCTTAATATTATATTTGATAGCAGATAAATTTATTAATAGTTTCTATTTTTTTCTGTTTTGTTTTTATTTCTTATTGAATTGTGTTTATATTCGTGTGCATGATATTTACTCAAATGATTATCATGTCAGGTTAACCCTTAATCAAATTTAAATCTAAATTCTGATGACATTTGTTTCTCATCTTGATCACTGAGTTTATCACAATAATTATTACCCTGAAATGAGATGATGATGATGAGTATACACATAACAACAAATAGCATTTTCTTTGAGGTTACCCAGGTTACCCTGGTTGGAAACTGAATTTATCTCAGATATTTCTTCATGAAAGGAAATCAATAAACTATCATCATCATTATCATCGTCAGTATATTACTGTTACTCCTAAGTATATCTGATATAAAGTCAAAAAAAAACTCCCTGAAGGAGTTTCTAGTTATACTTATCATCTGAAAAAAAGTTGATCATATTTTTTTCTACCTCTTCTTATGGCTCAACTTTTTTTCATTCTGAATTTTTCTCTTTTCATGGTGAAACTTTCAGAAGCTTGTAGCTCAATTTATCATGCTTGTTTTGGTGGGTTTATCTGTTTTCCCATGGGAATTACCTATCAATTGAATTGGGAATAATATATATTAAGTCTTTGGATGTGCCAGAATTAAGTACAAGTTACAATTGGTTTAGGGAACTTTCGTTTTCTTATGTTTTTAATTGTTATCCTGGAAAAAAAACTTAAACACAATTAATCACCAATCAGCTAATTCAATTCGTAAACTCGTATTATTTATTAATCTCATTGTTATCAAATCATTTATCATCCCCGAATTCAGGTTGATGAATTATTTTGATTGATGCTCTTATTTTTCTCATTCCAACTTCACCGTAATAATTATTTTTGTTTCAGAATTTTAACTTAGCATGATGATCAATTTTTTTAGAAAATCGATTCAAATCTTGTTCTTTTTTTTTAAGAATCTCCATTCAGAGATTTCTTTCTGTTAATTTTTAACTTTCTCTTTGCTTTTGAAAAGTTCTGAAAACTTCCAATTTGATCTGACAGATTTACCTTTTAGACTTGGAAACAGTTCGATAGATAAATGAATCGATTTTTAGATCAGGATGAGAATCGAAAATAATCCTCACGAGAATTGAGAGTAATCATCATTTTCCCTAATCAACTAATCACAATTTCCAATTGATAACAAGAATCCATCATAATATTGATTGGATATTTTTAGCTACTTCTTATTATCATCTTTATCTTCACCATCTCGATCTTAATCTTAATCCATCTTCATCATCACTATCGTCTTCTTATTGTTTGAGATGATAATTAAGTCTCTGGTAGATTAACCTTAGCAAAGTCAAATTGTAAAAGATTGACTTTTTTTCATCTTCATCTTTTTCATCCTCTGTCATTTTCTTAAATCTCATCTTAAATTCATCTTCATCCTCATGAAAATTCATTCCTCTAATCATCAGAACTGAATTTCCCTGTTGGTGATCAAGATGAGAAGGATAAGAGAAGGAGAAAAATTCAATATTCATCTAATCTAAAGAGAGAAAAAAAAAAGTTCCAAACCAAGTGAAACTTTTTCTCATCCAAATATCAAGTCTCATCTCAGAATTTTCTGTCATCTATCCAATTCAGTTTCCAATTGAAATCAATGAAAAAGTTGATTCGAAATAATCTCCATCAATCCCATTCTAATATTACAGTTTTCTTTGAGTATGAAATAGAAATTCCAATTGATTAATCTCAATCAGAATCTCAATGTATTTACCATGAGATTCATGAAAATTTCATTTGTCAAATGAATTGTAATCATTTTCTATTAACTTAGATTCATGTGATTATTTGATCATCATCTTGATTCTCATCTAGCTTTTAGCTTTACCCTTACCATGAATTGTGATTCACTTGTGAGTTAACAATAATATCACCATGATTGGGAATCGTCATGTTTGATCAAAGTTAATCAGACATTGAGATAGTTCTGGTTTATAGCATTTCATGTAATCGATGCTGAGTAATTGTACTTAATAATCATGGTTGGTTAATCTTAAATGGTTTTACCTCATGCTTGTTATCCCTCCTTCACTTTCACCTCCGCCTCTACCTCCTCAAGCCACCATGATGATGATGGTGATCCAGTTTTACCTTTATCTTGATTCTCTAACAAAAAGTAAACTACAAAAACTAACATTGACAATCTTCCTGGTCAATTCTTGACCAAAAGATAGTAAACATTAAGATTCTTGAAATTCTCAGTCAATATAATAATATTTATCTTTCAATGTTGATGGAATTATTTTCATGAGCAAATTTTCTTGAGAACATCATCTCATTTTCAATTCTTAACGAATTACTTTCTATCTTTATCCTTCAATAGAAAATTTCAACTATCGATTTCTTTTTTATTCAATAAGATATTATGAATAATACTCGTTCCATTCAGGTATCATGATCATTATCATGATACTCTATTCATTTTTCCTCACCTTCTCCCTATCTCTCTTTCTCTCTCATTGTTTTCTTTTTGAAACATTATCTCATCTATTATCACGTAACTATCATGATGAGATAACAATCAGAATGATTAATAACATGAAAATTCACGAAATTGAATACTCAATGTGAATACAATTCAACTGTGGGTCTCTTTTCAATTTTTAAATCATCATGAAAACAGAGCATCACTGAACTTTTTCCCATTCATCCTGAATAAGATTTTTAATTAGAGATATTGTAAAATCAAGAGATGAAAAATTTTCGTTCACACGAAATTCATATAATCATTATTTCATCATCTTCTCAGGTTACCATGTAATTCATTCAATTTTGATATCTATCATTATGATACCTTGAAATTGAATGTTTATCCCCCCTGGTAGATGAATATAATACATATATTATGTGTGCTATTGAACTGGTCAAATGATTAAGATTCAGATTCTTGGCTAACCGTTGAGAGTTTATCCTCATGGTGATTTGATTATATTTTCATGGATTCTGTTGATTTTGTACTTTGTGGAAAAATTTTCTCCATGAGATGAACATTTCCTTTTTGTTCATTGATATAAAAGATTGAGTGGAAAATAATTGACTGACATTGAGATTACTCAATCAAGGAAATAGTTTCCATCATTATTATTAAGTTGATTATTTTGAGTTGCAGATGAAAAAAAAACCATTTGACATGAAATTCATGAGAGATTCAGTATATATATATGTTTATATGAACTTTTCCCTGTTGATGGTAAAATTTCCTGAGATTATAAACTAATTCAATGGTGTGGTTACTGTTATTTGAAACAATTGAATATATATCAAACACTAAATTGATAGTCTACTATTTCTCATGTTAAATTGTTTCCATCATTTTCAACCAACAACTGAATATAAATTGAGTTGTTAGTAATCATGAATTTTGGTACAATATAAGCAACAGTTCAGGAAAATATCATGGTGAATGTAAAGTTGTCATGATATTTTATTCAAATGTAAATATCAACATGAGGAAACATGAGATAAAAGTATTGGGACACGGAATTGGGAGAGAAAGGGAGAGAGAGAGAGCAAAAAGAATCGATTAGCTATTGAAACTCAATTGGAACGGAAGAGAAAATAAAAAGTGAAAATGTTTCTTTTCGATTGAATTTTTTACTTTTCCAAATCAAATGCTGCTTTTAAAGAGGTTGCAATAGGAAGTTCAAGAAATTCGTGTTATTTGTTTATTTTCTGAAAGAAAAAGTTCTGTGAGTTTCTTTTTTTTATTCTCATTTCTGAATCGCTTTTCCAAAAGTTCCCATTCTTTTCAAATCA